TGAGCCCGCTTCCTCCACCTCCACTTCTTTGTGGCGCATGTTTTAAAATGCTCTGCAGCATGAGTCCTTATAAAACCTTCTGTTGCTGCAGCATACCCATTCATGATTCCATCTGCATTTGCAAAAAAAAAACAAAAAAACACAAAAACACAAAAAACAAATGAGTAATTAGTAATATGCAAAGGCAATCTGGAAAATGCACAATGTCTTGCTGGGGCCTCCCCTAATACTGGATTAATAATTAAAAAAAAAACATCCCTGCAAATATTCATAGTTGGCTTTGAATTTTTTTTGCCAATCACTTCACACTTGTCTCTGTACAATGTCCACTTGCTTTACTAACACACATTTATTTATCATTTATTAACGTTTATTTAACCAGGCAAATCTCATCGAGATCACATATCATTTTCAAGGGAGGCCTGGGCCTGAAGCCAGCCTAACATGCATGTTTTTGATCTGTGGGAGGAAACCGGAGTACCCGGAGAAAACCCACGCAAGCACCGAAGAACATGCAAACTCCACACAGAAAGACCCCAGGTCCAACCGGGGATTGAATCCAGGACCTTCTTGCTGTGAGACAACAGTGCGAACCACTGAGCTGTCATGCTGCCAAAATGGATTAGAGATACCAAACCTTTTCATATCTATGGGGTGCCGTTTGTAAAGTTACAAAAATTAACAGCAATATTTTGGTTTAGAGAAAAAAGTTATTTTCAAAGTCATATTTTCACCATGTTTTTCATACATGTATAGTTCCAAATTAAATATTTAATTTAAAAGCTAAATATTTAGTTTACAAAACTACTTAACTTGCAAGTAAAATATTTAGTTAGTGAACTAAATAAATTTAGGTGCAAATTAAATATTTAATTTCCAAACCTAACATTTAATTTCCAAAATAAATATCTAATTTGCTAACTAAATATTTAGCCAATCATTCCATTTGTCAACAGGAAACATGGGCTTACCTTTAATTGCTCTATAAATCTTGGTTATTTCCAGAGACTTTTTCTCATGTTTCTCTTTCCCCTTCATAATGAATTTGGCCATTAATGAATTGGTGAAGAGCCTAAAAAACAATAAATTACAATTATGAATCAATATGAATATATGGATGATAATATACAATTATTGAACTCCATGTGGAGTGGCTTACAGATGGTTAGTGGGTGGGTGCTGTGCGGTTTGTATAAAAAGGGAATTGTGAGAGCGTGTGTTTGTGTGTCGATACATACCTATCAAGAACTTTGTAGACAAAGTCCTTGGTGTCCTTTCCACCAATTCTGGAAATCTGCAGAACCTGTTGGAATAAATCCATGACACAGTTGACTGACACTTGACACAGGTGAACCGAACAGTGTTTGATTGTACTGCGTTATGCTAGGCTTTCTTCCAGACTTGTAAAACCTACCAAGGTAGCAAATGTTTTGGAGTCACAGAGGCGCTCCTCCTCTCTCTCAAAATCATCCAGGGTCTCCATCCTCTTAATCGGCACAGCTGAAGAGGTGGGATGTACATGGTGTAGGCGATCGCCGAGGTCAATCAATAAGCTGAATACTTTTCTCTGAAACACTGGAAAAAAAAAAAAAAAAAACACACATTTTTTAATTACAATGGTTATCCAACAGCAAGGTAGCTGGTTGACTTTTTTTTTTTACAAGTGTCTCACTGCTATCTGATACTTACCATCCTGAGGCAATGGGAATGCCCATCTTCCAATGTCTGATCTGGAAGTGGCGTTGTTGTGCCCGGACCTCGACCTACAGATGTCATCACTGTGCCTGTGCCTCGACCTAGAGATGTCTTCGTGGTGCCTGGATCTTGATCTAGAGATGTCTTCGTGGTGCCTGGATCTTGACCTAGAGATGTTTTTGCGGTACCTGGATCTTGATCTAGAGATGTCTTCGCGGTGCCTGGATCGGATGATGGATCCACTGCCAGACCTAGTACCATTTCAATTTATTATAATTACTTCCACATTGTATCACTGACATATTACAAGACCATGTCATAACACAAATACAAATGAACCATTACTGGAGGGCCAACAATAAGGACTCGGAACAACCAGAAGAAGTCGTTAATGATTTGGTGCCATTTGCCGTTTCTTTACCTTGCCGTGAGAGCCATTTCGAATGTCATCACTGGCAGCACTTCGTACTGTATGTCGGGATCCTGAAAAAATAAAATTAATTTTAAAAGTTTTTATTTCGCAAGGACTGATAAAATAAACAATGGTTTAAAGTGTAATCTATTCTCACTGGGCGTTGACAGGTTCTTGCGCTGAGGCGCTGTGCGTGCATGTTGAGGACCTAAAAACAAAAGACTATTCAGTGAAGCAAAATAATTAAGATGAAGCAAAAAGGTGAGCATTAGCTGTCCTCGAGGACCAACGCTCCACAAAGCCAGACAAGCCTTAAAAAACAGTCTGTGTGTAAATCATTACCAAAGAGGACTGGATTGGTGGAGCAAGAAAAAAAAATAACTAAAAAAAGTGACCTCATAAGTACTCACTAGCTTTGTTCGGTTGGATAGTGTCCTGAACGGTAGGGATCTTCTGTGGAGGTGTTGGACAGTTCAGCAGCTGGACACCTATACAGGTGATTTAAAGAAAAACAAGCATGCACATTTTAAATAAAAAGGCTTACTAAAAAGGTCATTACTGTTGAAAGTGGAATTAAAAATCTACAGAGAACCATTACCTCTGAGGCTCTCTTCTTCATCAGAAGAAGTTAATTCTGCAAAAAGGTTCACAAACATTGATGTTAAAAAAAGTTTTAAACTCAATTATTGTCAGCAGATTACAAATGTATAAATCACTTGAGAATGACAAACACACCGCTTACAAAACCCTCCGGAGCTGCTTTTTTAGTGCGACTCCTTTTTGATTTTGTCACCATGTCCTGGTCTTCCTCATCCTCCTCCACCTGACTAGTCAGGTTGTAATCAGTGTTGCCAGATCTCGCGAGAGAAACAAGCAACCCGCTCTATGAAAACAAGCCCAAAACAAGCAACCGGCTCTTAAAAAAAGCCCCCCCCAAAAAAGCCCAACTGGCAATCCACCATTGTGTAAAACAGAGGCCGATGTCTCTTTAAAAGCAAAGACACACATGAGCCAACTCAAACAGGTCAAGTGTGAAACCATCTTCTCTCCTTGTCCTTCTTGCTTCCCCATCAGGTCTGTTCATCTGTAACACAACACTTTGACACATCTCCCATCTGAGGTCGAATCCATTCTTTAAGTGTGCTCTCTTTCTTCCATTCCTTATATTTTTTTCCATATTTTCCCCACTAACTGGAGCTCATGGTCTCTTCACTTTGGGCTCTCTGGTGGCTGCGGGCGGCTACTGCATGGCTGCTTGCTGTGTTGTGAAAAGACGAGTGACGACACAAGTGTGCGCCTCCTCGCCAATTTGGGCGGGAGCGATAAACAGGAAACGGGGGCGAAGATGGGACAATCTACCTGCCACTCGTCTTTTGCTTTATTGTGCGGAGATGGGAGATAATCAACTAGTTTCACTCGGAAATAAAGTCAAGCCCAAATAAGCTGCTTCATGTACAAAAACAAGCCCAAAAAAACGCAAACCGCGACTCACAAGATTTGCAAGCGACTTTAGAAAAAAACAAGCCCAAAGTCGCTTATAATAAGCAAACTTGGCAACACTGGTTGTAATTCTCACACTCACGACGTTTAGCTAAAGTGAGAGAAAAAAAAGTGATTGGTTGGAACATGATCACGCGCTACTCCGCCAATCCAATCATAATGCTCGGGTTCCGAAGCTAGCGAATACAATTCTTCTTCGTGTTTTTTATGGCAGAAAGCAAACAACTTCACAAGTACCGCCACCTACTGAAAATTAATGTGTTACCTCCGTAATTCAACGCAGAATAAAATTGAATCATAATAACAATAATAATAACAATAATAACGATATTCTTCAAATAAATAATAAGGTAACTACTAAAATTTGTAAAAAAAAAAAAAAAAAAGAATAGAGGAAATGCATGTTAAAAAAATGATGTCTATATGACCTCCAAGTCTGATGTTATATTGACGTACAAATGCGGTCATGGTTAGACATCCAAAAGTGGACCTTGTTTGCACGTCGGGGGGTGGCGTCCAGAATTGGTCTTCGACCAACGGACCCAATATAGACGTAATCTGGACGTCCGTTAGACGTCTAATGTTTAGTGGGCAGTGACGAGTCTCGCCTCCAGCGAGAGCGGCGCGCGTCCCACCAGAGAAAACGTGTGCTCCCGCGGGGCTCGCAGCCTTCACTCCAACAGCATGGCGTAGATGAAGTCGCGCTCTTCGCCTCTCAGCGTTCGCACAGCGACGTCGAACGCGCGCCCCCATGGCGTCATCAGCTGTCACACACTTCGCCTCAGCACACACCGGCCCACCTGGACATGAAGGTGTGTCCGCGGTCCGAACGCAGCGCACGGGCACGTTCAGAGCCCTTTCGAGGAAGCCTCGCCTTGGGTCACGCGGAAAACATTCCCGCGACACATGGCAGCGGTCGGGGCGGCAGACTGGATGACATCTGTACAAAACATGACGCATCACTTAAACGCACGTCCACTCCATGAATGTTACGCGGAGTGGCTAAAAACATGCTCGCCAGATGGATGGCCAGGGTGTTATGCAAAGGTTACACGTTGCAGTTTGCAACCCGATCCCCTCCGTTCAAAGGAGTTTTAGAGACGGTCCTGTCATCACCAGACCAAATCTCATCCCTAAATGCAGAAGTCCAAGAGCTTCTGATAAAAGGAGTAATCTCCAGGGTTCCCAACTGAGAGGAAAACACAGGGTTTTACTCACGTTACTTCCTGGTTCCCAAACGGACCGGAGGGATGAGACCGATTTTGGATCTGTCAGCTTTCAACAAGGCGATCATGGACAGACCGTTTCACATGTTGACCACCAGACAGCTGTTGGACAACATCCAGAGAAACGACTGGTTTGTTTTTGTCGACCTAAAAGATGCTTATTTTCACATACCGATCATCCCAAAACACAGAAAATTCCTGCGTTTCTCCTTTCAGGGGATGAAGTATCAGTACAACAGGCTGCCGTTCGGGTATTTCCTCGCACCTTGTACGTTCTCAAAGTGTGTGGAGACAGCCCTGCATCCGTTACACAGAGCAGGGATGAGAGTTTTGTTTTACCTGGACGACCTGCTGCTGCTGTCATGCTGGTTTATTACACATGAGACGCCTCCAGAGGTGGTTTGCGCGTCTGCGTGTGGACCCAGTAAAACAAAAGAGACGGATGATCACTGTTCCTCCCTCCGTGAGAGCAGACCTCCGACACTGGGGAAACACCCTGGTTCTGTTGGAGGGAGTCTCCGTCAGCAGACCCACATCACACGTGTCAGTCTTCACGGACGCGTCGCTGTCAGGCTTGGGGGGGACATGCCTATCTCAAGCAGTAGGGGCGCTGTGGCCCCATCACACTTCAGCCCACATAAATGTTTTGGAGTGTCGCACGGTGCTGAACGTGATTCAACACTTTGCTCCCGTGCTACAGAATCAACACGCGTTGATTCACACAGACAACAAGGTGACTGCTGCGTACATAAACCGACAGGGGGGTGTGCGCTCAGCCCAGATGTTACACATTGCGCGAAAGCTACTGTGTTGGGCTCACCAAAACCTGCTCTCCATCAGAGCAGTTTACATACCTGGTGTTCTGAACAAAGGGGCAAATGTGATGTCCAGGGGCGGTCCACGTCACGGGGACTGGACTCTCCACCCGGACCTGATGACTCAGACGTGGCAGACATTTGGCAAAGCAGCTGTGGACCTGTTTGCGACACGAGAGAACGCTCAGTGTCAACTATGGTTTTCTCTGAGCCCGCGAGACGAACCACCACTGGGGATGGATGCATTTGCCCACAGCCCATGGCCCAAAACGCTTCTGAACGCGTTTCCTCCACCTCCTATGATTTTACGGTTCCTGAACCGAGTTCAGGAGGAGGGATTGACAGCTCTCCTGGTAGCCCCCGAGCGCGTGAACACACCATGGTTCCCAGTCCTGCAACGCCTACTGTCAGGGCGCCTGTGGAAACTGCTGTGGAGGGAGGATGCTCTCCTCCAGGCAGGAGGAGCGATCAGGAGTTACCCAGAAATAGGCCAGCACCTGTGGGTCTGGCCGCTGAGCGGTTCCGCTTAGAGAGGATGGGTCTCCCACAGGATGTAGTGCGCACAATCCAGGATTCATGTGCTGCATCTACCACAGCGCTGTACACATCAAAGTGGACAGCTTTTCAGCGCTGGTGTACAGACAAAGGTGTAGAGGCCATCTCATGTCCATTAGGCGGCGTGCTGTCTTTTCTACAACAGCTGATGGACAGAAATTTGGCGTCCAGCACGATTAAAACGTACGCTGTAGCCATCTCTTCCTGCCACGAAGGTTTCGGAGACAGAACAGCTTTTAATCATCCGCTGATGAAGTGTTTTCTAAAAGGTGTACAGAGACGCAGGCCTGTTTCACACCCACTTGTTCCACAGTGGGATTTAACGCTGGTCCTGCAGGTCCTGATCAAAGCTCCATTTGAGTCTTTGGATCAGTTTCCACTTAAATTCTTGTCTCTTTAAACAGCCCTGCTGCTGGCTTTAACATCCGCTAAGAGGGTGAGTGATTTATCTGCCCTCTCTGTCGCTCCGTCATGTCTCAGAATTCAGGCTGACGGCAGCTCAGCTGATTTAAGACCAAACCCAGCTTTTATGCCTAAAAACATCACGAGCTCCTTTAAATCAAGAGCGATATCGTTGGAGGGGTTTTTCCCTCCCCCCCACAGATCAAAAGAAGAAGCATCTTTCCATCTTCTCTGTCCGGTGCGGGCATTGACGTGTTACATAGCTGTAATGCGCCAAACTCAACATTTGTTTGTGCATTATAGAGATGCACCTGCAGGTCGCCCGTTATCCACCCAGCGCTTGTCACACTGGCTGTGTGAGGCCATTTCTGAAGCCTACAGAGCATCATATTTAGAGCCTCCTGTCAGCCTCAGAGCACACTTGACCAGGGGTATCGCATCTTCGACTGCCTTGTATAATGGTATAACAATGCAGGATATTTGCACTGCGGCCGCGTGGTCAACACCCTGCTCATTCATTCGCTTTTATCTGCGTGATGTGACGGCCCGTTCCATGACACATTCTGTCCTTAGTGTTCTAACAGAATGAATATTGTTGTTTTCATGGAACTCTGTTTAAGCTCACATCTGTCTGCATGCTTCACAGTGTGAGATGTGTTACAAGTTGTGTCTGTTATTTTGGTTCTATTGTCACTAATCAGTTCATGACTATTGTTACCAATCAGTTCATTTGATTAATAATCAGTTCATTTGTTATTATTAATCTGTTTATACTGTTCAGCCATGAATCAGTTGGTTCATCCCCCCCCCCCCCCCTTTTTCAACATCTTCCCTCCCCATTGAAATTTTCCGGGGCGTTCATGTTTTTCAGAACGCATAGTTACAAAACATGCGTCTGTGCATGGTACACATAACTACACAATGCATAATTATGCACATGGGGAGCCGAGTGACAAGACGTTTTTTGGGCAAGCTTCTGCTTCATACGGTGTTCGAATGGACCCAGTGAGGCGAGGACCACATCCGCTTCGCCCTTAACCCATCAGCGACAGTCTTAAAGGGCGAAGCCTATACGAAATAGAACGTTGGTTACATACTGTAACCCCAGATTCTATGAGTATAGGCGTAGCCCTTTAAGCGTCGGGCCTCACTGGCTCCTGAATGGCTGAAGAAAAAATAAAGCTATTTGGGAGCCGATTACCCGCTCTTAATGTAACTTATACGGATCGGGTGGGGCCCACACAGCAGGTGGGCGTGGACTAAATTTTTTCAGTGTGATGCTTCGCATAATGGTATAAACCCATCAGCGACAGCCTTAAAGGGCTACGCCTATACTCATAGAATCTGGGGGTACAGAACGTAACCAACGTTTTTTTTTCCCCACCCCCAATTTATCTCCGTTCACACACTAGTTCAGTATGTGGCGGTAATGCACCTTCACAGTTGGTCTTCCAACCGCCATAAAACGATACAAGAAGAATAAAACTGCGTTTCAAAGGAATAAAAAACATCTCCCGCCTGGAAACGGCAAGTATACAAGGATACCTTCGTCTAATCAGGTGTAGTACTTTAATAATTACAAAAAAAGGTTAAAAACAAAACGTGTTTTTTTTTTTTAGTAACGCCTTGTTTTCTTTCGTCCAATCAGATGTGGCTCTTGAGATACGCCTTTCTTTGGGAACGCCTAATTCGTTTTTCGGAACGAATATTTTGTCTGCCGACGCTGAACATGAGGAACGTAACGTCGTCTGCTACTGACGTCACACGTCGTTGCACGTAGCTGTCATGTTTACAGTAACGGTGTGTGTTTTGGACGGACTTTGATTCCTTCGTAAATGACAGTTTGCACGCATTCCGTTTTGATATAAGGTATTTGATATATGCTATATATACATTATTTGTATGTGTTCATAAATGGTTAGTTTGGATACAGATTAAGGATTTACGAAAAGTTAATAGAGATGGCATGCTAGCGTTACATGCTAGCAACGTTATCTGTAACTCGTGGGCACATCGAGCGTACACAAAAAAACAAACATAACGAGACACAACTTTTGGTAAACTGCAGAGCCACTTTGAAGTTGGCTAACCAAAGCCCAACTTGATTTATTTATTTATTTATTTGTATGGGGGGAAGGGGATTCTTGTAATCATACACTAAAGGTAGTTTCCTTTTTACAGCTCTGAATAGTACGGTGGCCGACAGGTACAAAAAGTGATCACGCTGCACAGCACCCTGTAACACAACAGCGCTACAGTAGCGATGTATGGACGTGTGTACGCCAGCATTCTCCAGAAAGCCTCAAGTTATAGACAGATAGTTTATTCCACAGCTCCATTCCAGGTTAGTAATCAGACTTCTTTGTTTGTCAATTAAGTTACAACACATCATGCAAACATTTAAATTGCTCTGTTTCCATATTCTCTTTTTCAGGCAGCTTATCATTGCTACTTCTCATCGCGGAGTGCCTCTGGATCATACCACAGGTGCAGCTCTGGTGACGAGTCTGGATTCTGGTCTCAAAGTGGGCGACATTTCTCAGCACGGCAGGATCTAGACTTCCAGCAGAGCCAAGTACAGATCAACAGTATTCTTAGAAGCAACGAGCAGGTATCTGATTCAACAGAGAGGAGCAAAACTCTTAATATTTGATTGTAAAACATAAAGTAGCCAAGCTAGTTCCTCAGTTAGGATATATATCGGTAATCAGATCTGTGTATGCAAATCTCTGTTTTAGACTGTAAATGTGCCAGAGTTTGATGGCAGGGCACTTAGTGCTGTGAGAAAATTTGAAAGCAACCAGTTACCTGCTAATACACCTAATGAGGACCGTCGCAGCGCAGCCACCTGCTTACAGGTATGCATCTTTTGCTCAGGCTACATGGTATAGCATTTTTACTTCTCTTTAACACATTTTCCCACTTATCTCTCCAGTCAAAGGGCATGCTCTTTGGAGTATTTGATGGCCATGGGGGCTGGGCGTGTGCTCAGGCTGTCAGTGAGCGGCTGCTGTATTACATAGCAGTTGCTATGATGCCAAAGCAAAGCCTGGAAGAGCTTGAGAAGTGCATGGAACACAGCAGACCTGTTCCTCCCATCTTACAATGGTATAAACATCATGCAGACTTTAACTATCGTGACTCTGCCTCTCTGTACATAAACCACCTCAGAGTCTTCTGGCAAGATTTACTGGACAATGAGGAGCATGATGCAGGCATGAGGTATGTTAAAATATGGGAATTTCTAAATAGGAGGAATAATTTGAGCTGCTGTGTTCTTTTTTAAAAGCAACTTGTTTCCTTTTATTTGCTTTTTTTAATTATCTGTGTTCTTACCAGTCATTAATGTATTTATGAGTTTAACCATGGATGTTTTATTAAAACAATAGGTAAAGCTGTGAATCTTTACTGTCTTAATTGATTTAATTATGGTTTACTTGTTAATGATTCAGTGTATCCAAAGATGTATAATAATGTATATTTCAAGGTCAAGCAGCCAGATTAGTCTATGTTGCTTTTTTATTTAGTGCTTTAGAAATTAAAACTTCTGTTTTCTCAGTATCAAGCTGCAGTACAGAACTATCTACAAATCAAAACGATCCATTTGGGCCACAAACACACGTATTGTTAAAGTCAGGGGCCACAAAAGTCCACAAGTCCCAGCACATCCTTTTCATGGGTTAATGGCACAATAACAACTCCTCATTTTCTTCCAGTCCTCAGGATGCTTTGCATTGTGCTTTCAAACGACTTGACACAGACATCTCTTTGGAAGCTCAAGTCCCTCTTTCCAATGACTTGTTAAAAAGTACAGCCATCCAGGTAATGACCTGCAACATGTTTTTATGCCTTCATGTGTCTCAGGTCACACAGTCTTAATAGTGCATGCACCATTGTATCTCCAGGTTGCGTTTGCTGGGTGCACTGCCTGCGTGGCCCATGTGGGCATCAACGGGATCCACGTGGCGAACGCTGGAGACTGCCGCGCAGTTTTAGGTGTGCAAAACGAGGACGGTTCGTGGAGCGCTTTGCCTCTTTCTGGAGACCACAACTCACAGAACCATGCTGAGGTGGAACGAATCAAAGCCCAGCACCCGCCTTCAGAGAGAGACACTGTGGTCACAGATGACAGACTGCTGGGGGTGAGTTATTGTCTCTGACCTGTAAAACAGGTCGAGTGTTATTTATTTATTTATTTTACCAGTTTAACCCTTTACCTGTTACTTGCTTTCAGGTTCTGATGCCCCTGCGTGGATTTGGTGATGTGAGATTCAAATGGAGCCGTGAGCTGCAGCAGAGCATTTTAGCCAGCATGGAATCTGGGGTGGACCTTGACTCTCTCAACTTGTATCAGTACATACCCCCTTACTATCTAACACCACCCTATCTGGACGTGACCCCTGACATAACCTACCACAAGCTGAGACCCCAGGACCGCTTCCTGATCCTCGGGACTGACGGCTTGTGGGATGAACTGGGAAGTGAAGAGGCGGTTCGCCTCGTTGGAGAGCACTTGAGTGGAATTCACTTACAGGTTCGTATATGCCAATTTTTCATACCGAACCATATTTTGATCTTGTAAAGATAGCCTTAAAAACATCATCTGATCATCTGTCATGTCTTTTTTTTTTTTCAGGCTCCAGTTTCTCCATCCGAGCGGCAGCTGAAACTGGGTCAGATGCATGAACTCTTGCTTAAACGGCAAGCCCGTGCCTCCCCAGCTCTGGACACCAGTGCTGCCACTCACCTCATCAGACATGCTCTCGGAACTGGGGAGTACGGAGAGCTGTCTCAGGAGAGGCTGGCCTCTATGCTGGCTTTGCCGGAGGACCTGGCTCGAATGTACAGGGACGATATCACAGTTACTGTGGTGAGTCTGAACTACGACCTGGCTAGACCTCACCGCAGTTAGCACACGCTTTGAGAAACGTTCCTAGCACTTAACTTGGTTCAGATCATTGTCAGTGTTGTTCCTGGCTGAAATATACACCCTGTTACATGAACTGATTAATAGATATTTTAGAACGGTTTACAATGTTGTATTATGTGAAGGTAATCCTTCAAATAAATAGAAGTTTTAACCTATGTTATGTATTCATTAAATTAACAAATCAAGCCTTTGTGAAGAAATACGTTCAATGCACTTTGATGCTTACGAGTATTTTGTTTCTCTCTTCTGCACAAACAGTCCACCTGTGCCTTTAGTCCTGTTTACCTTATATTTATGTAAGATATAAAAATGATCTTTAAGCGTAAATTTAAATGTCTTTAATTGACTTTTAATTGTTTCTTATGTGGACAAAAGCTGAAATATTTTAGAATAAACAACTGAAAAAGTATGATTGTTGTTATCATTTATACGTGATGAGATGTTTGGTTTTACAGTTTAGATTGGCCAGTAAATTTCTGCAAAATACAGTTTTGTGCTCTCAAAGCCAAATGTGGGAAACCATGAAGCTATGGGAGAAGTTTTGAAAATAAACGTCTAATATAATAGTTTCTGAGTGTTATTGGAACCAATCTGATCCTCTTGTTTTGAAAATGTTTGCTTTTTCTTCGTGATAAGATTTAAAACAAGTTTTATCTATCCTACAAACACAAATTGAAATGATAGATATTAAGCAATACAAACCGTAACATTGAAAAATCCACACTTCTTTAGTTTTAAATGTTAAAAAAATAAAATAAAATCACAGGAATCTCTCGTTTTAAAAAAATGAGAGCTCCACCTGCATAAACTCACCTGTACGCCTGCAGTTATTTTTATTCATTTATTTGTTCCCAAGCTTTTCCTGATCAAACCAAACAGCATCTCGGTCTTTTTACTGGTAAGCAGGATTTTAAACAGTAACTGTGCAATGAGCTCAGAAGAGGTGGAAGAACATTTAGACTGGGAGTTCTGAAGATGGGAAACACTCTTTAGGGAAGCTTACAAACTTGGCATTTGGCCTCTTGAACGAAGCACAACTCCAGTCCAGAGTCGATCTAGTGGCGGTGCAGTGGAGATCTACTGGATTTCTCAGCTGGGAGAAATGAGCGAGAACAGCACGAGGACAATGATTTTCTGCCAACTTCAGGTTAGTTTTTACATTTTAAATGATGCTGCTGTCAGTAATTTAAATGGATCTTTTCCCCTCTCCACCTAAACTGAATTATATTTGCAGTGGTTTTTAACTAAAACATTGTCTTCTCTATTTACCAGGTTCCTGATATTAATGCTCTACTTATGGCTTAGCTATATGTCTATTTACATACACTAAAAACTGACAATCATTAAAAACAAACTAAAAAAAAACTGTTTCAGATTTGAATGTGAAACATTCTCCAACATTTTAATGAACACATTTGTGATGTTAAATACTTCAAAGGTGGGTGAAGGTTTAACCACTACCTGCACGGTTATCATCATTACTGACGGCAACTGTAACGCTCCTCAGTTCACTGTGACATTTGAGTTACTCAAACTCCTTGTCTTGTTTATCTGTCAATATTTGAACTCAAAAAAATAATTTGCATTTCTCATTTTTCCCCAGAAGTCCACATCTGTCTATGAGAATGAGATTGTAGTGGAAGACTGCAAGTTATTGACAAGTTTGAGCTAGGATCACCAAATGCCAACAGCAAGTAGTATTCAATAATTAAAGGCAATGAAGGGGAAGAATTGAACATCATTACAGGATCTGATAACTATCCAAACAGCCAATGTTTGAATTAACATGAATATTTTACTATATGTGATAGTAGTAACAAAAACCTTTTTCTGCAGCCGTGTCCACAGCCTCCGTCAGAGTCGAGGACTTGGACAAAAACGAGCCTCCTGCTCAGCTGCAGGTCAGAGGGCGTGAAAATCAGCACTTCTGTTCAACTCAAAGCAAACCACCCAAACACAGCCAGGAAGCAGAGACTGTTGGGTAAGACAAGCACACCTTGTAAAACAAAGTATAATCTTTTGGACAGTTTGGATGTTCAATACTTATTCAGTCCAGTTTAGTAAAGAACGAGTGATCATTGTTGGAATATTTACTGAAAATGATCAAATATGAGACAGATAAAACCTCACAGGGTTGACATGACCCTGACATTAACTGGTAGAAGTTTGCTTACAAATAATTTTTTTTTAAAATTTGCAACATATGCATGTGCATCCTGCTCCGATGTTGTTTACTTCAGTCTCAGATGAACGCCAGCACAGGACTGGGCCAAGTTTCTAGCAGCATGGACAGAGAATCACACTTTTAATAAAGACTGCAAACATACAGGCCTGGTTTTGGCTTATGATGATGGTGAATGATTTGGTATTTTAAGTTTATACACACGAAAGATAAATCCCTCCTGAATTCCTCTCATTTCCTTTAGACGTCATTCCTGCAGGCACTTTGGTTGTGACTTTACTGGAAGTGAACGACAGTCGTCCTGGGATCAATCAGAGGAGAGTCCATCTGTGTTGCAGAGACCCTTTTCCTGTCTGTCTGGATATTTTGGACCTGGATGAAGCCGGTCATGCTGGCCCGTTCTCTGTGGAGCAGATAGGAAATCACAGGACGACCTGGACTGTCAGCATCCACTCCTTATGTAAAGAAGCTGACAATATGAAAACAACAAAATGTGGAAGTTATTTAGTGACCCTGCAAGGCTTAAGCTGTTGAACATTTATCTGGTGGTGCAGATGTAGATTTGAATTTTTAGAGATGAACAGTCAGTACAACAAGTTTTACATGACGGGTAACTCAGACCACCAGCCTTTAAAGTTTCATCCTGTTTCATGTCCAGGTGACACGATAAACCCCGCCCCCTAAACGAGACTCACCTCCAGGGGTGTACAATGAGCTGATGCATATTTATGATGTTGACATGCTCCACCTGGACAGTACACAGAAAGTGGAGGTGTGTCAATGTAAAGATACCTGCTTCATCCCACGTTCTGAACCACGTAAACCCAATCCTTCTGTAGCAGCCGGTCCTGAGAGTTGTTTTTTGGTCTTCTGTGTTCGTCCTAATTTCATTTAATTCATTTTACCTTGAGTCACTTGTGTTTTTATTCGATTATAGTGCTGCTTCTGCTGCTGCTGACGAGGAGGAGGATGGTTCTTTTCTTGAAGCTTTGCCCAGAGACGCCATCTTCTGCTACAACGAGGAGGGAGGAGGTGAAGACGACCGGGCAGGGAGAGACTGAGTGATGGAAAGTGACCATCCTCTATTATTTCAGTTTGAAACTTTATATGACCATTTTAAACTGAACATGAAATTAGTTAATCTTAACAATGTGATCAGACATAATCATGATGCATATGACTAAATTTCTTTTTATTTCCAGAGAATGAGTTCATATTTGGTGTGGTAGTAGTTGAACGTAATCCATAGTTTAAGTCAAATGTGGCTGTGGCGGCCATCATGAATTAGTACTCTGTCATGAAAGGCAGATGATTCACGTTCCTTCAAGGAAGGCTAAAGAAAATAGACACTGTTATCTCTAGCTGCACGTTGTGTGTCCAGAAAACAACAGTTGTGATAAAAAACACAGTTTCGTGACTTACAGTGATTGCTCTGCACAAATTTCACCAGAGTCGTGGCTCCTTAATGAACCCAACCAACAAAAATGTCGTCTGTTTGTTAAAGATGATAATCTGATGTTACACATCTGTGTGTGGCAAAAGCATTGAGTTTTTTTTTTTACCACCTTGATGAAAGTTCAACTAAATCTTTTTGGTGATGGATTTGTCCCAGGCAGGCAGGAGGAGAACAGGATGAAGACTGACAGGAGACAGTCTGGTCCTTTTTGTGTTTTAGGACTAGGACCTGAGCCGGCTCCAAAGAGGACTTGATAATCCCCCTGAATTCTTCAGCATGGATGTTTCTTTTAACGTCCTGAGCCGACCGGGGTACCACAGACAAACCCACGTCAGTGAGGATGTTGTCAAATTCACTGAGGATGTGAATAATCATAAAATTAATAAACATCACCTCTGACCTGTGGGTTTGACGTCTCCATTGATCCTGTTTGCATCACAGCTTCTTTTAGTAACTGTTACTAACGTTATCTGTTCTTACTTTATTTTTTTAACGTAGAACCTGCGAGCTGCGGACAGTGACCCTGCAGCATCTCCGCACGACTCCCTCCCGGGGTTTGACTTTGAAGGTGGAGGCTCTGAGGAGAATTCTCTCGGCTCCATCAACACCTCAGGGTCAGATGAGGAGCAGGACTTTCAGAGTCTGGGTCAGTGGGGACCACGCTTCAGCAGACTGGAAGATTTGTGCACGAGGGGCAGAGGGGAGGATGACGACGGTGAAATATTGCCAGGAAACACAGAGTGGGTCTGACATGACCCCCACGTATTTATAGATGCTCTAAATCTGGACCCATCTGGCCGAGATCTCACGGATGCCGTGACCTCTTTCTGCCTTCTTCTGGTTTACCAACACTAAATATTCTTAACTGTACAGTTATTTTTTTATGTTAATGACATATTTGTGAACAATAAAATTGCAGTAAAAATTAGGATTGTTTGCTATTTACAGTTATTGGGAAGAAGTATTAGAGCTGCTGCCTCTCAGCGAGCAGGTCCTTGGTTCAAACCCCGGTCCAGGGGCCTTTCTGAGTGGAGTTTGCATGTTCTCTCCGTGCATGCGTGGGTTTTCTCCGGGTTCTCCAGTTTCCTCCCACAGACCAAAAACATGCATGTTGGGCTGACTGGTAACTCTAAATTGTCCCTAGGTGAGAGTGAGAGAGTGAATGGTTGTTTGTCTCGTTTGTCTCTATGTGTCCCTGTGATGGACTGGAGACCTGTCCAGGGTGTACCCTGCCTGTCACACAGTGACTGCTGGATATGGGCACCGGCGACCCCCGTGACCCAAAATGGAAGAAGCGGGTAAAGATAATGGATGGATGGAAGTTTGAGCATCATATTTAACTCATAAATAAATTGTGCTATGATTTGTGAACTTGGGTGCACACATTTTATCTTTATAGACATAACTAGAACTCTACACCTAATTATGAGGCTCACAATAGCATTTTTTTTTACTGTTGATCTTACATTTTCATTTAACCAACTGTTTAAGGTCCATCTAGGGACGGATGTTGCGAATTAGCTTTGGCTAAATACACTGTGATGCAGGTATTAAAATCCTAAAAAAGTAAGCAGTGATCTTCAGTAACTCCTCCCTGCAGACTGATAAGTGTCTGACTCACGACCAGTCATCCTGAACCTCCTCCTTCACTCTGAACTTTACCCACTCATTACTGTCCAACTCAAGTGAACTTTGACCCTGCAGATCTACCGGTCTTCACCACGCTGAGGAGTTAGGAAAGCGATGGTATAAACCGTCACATGTCTTCCATTCCTGATTTTGTTTATTTTAGATTTTTATTTGGCATGAAGGCCTGTGGATGAACTAATCACGACATCCAGGAAAGGTGAGAAACAAACTGTTTACATTTCAGATTCCAAGTGTGCGTTTGAGTTATTTCTTTTACAACTCATCTTAGCTTGTCATTTTCGAGCCACTGAACATGTTTTTGTCCACAACAGATGAGGCAGAACATGTTTCAGGAGGGGCTGTACCAAGTGTTTTTTAAGGAGACTCGTCCCTCACACCCCACAGCCCAGGACTCCAATAACGGGGAGCTGAACAACGCCAGGATCCACCGCTGGTTTGGGTCTGTGGTGAACACGAGACTTTTAGTGATCGGGGTGAGCGCTGCTTTCATTTTCATTCACTTCGATTCTTTTAAACATCTGTAAGGTTCTCTTCTGGTTTGTCTTTGCAGGTGGTTCAAATCTTCAATGCGCTGGCATGCACGCTCACCACAGTGAGCCACGCATGTGTGAGGTATGACTGTTCTGTCTCCATGATGACTCCAGTATGGTCCAGCTTATTTGTGAGTCTCCTTCAGACACACTGTGAGTTTTCTAGTTTTACAGCGAGGAAGCTAATCAGAGTCCTAACTGGTGTTACAGTATGTGGCTGCTGGGTGTTTGGCAGTAGAGGTGCAGAGAAAAGCTAGTAGATTAAAGGTAACCAGTCCATTCTGACACAACCTTTTCTGCTCATCTGCTCGTCTAACATCCGTGTCACCAACCAACAGATCATCTCTCTGATGAGCCTGAATGTTTTCGGCCTGCTGGTTGGGTTTTCTGCTCTGCTGGCCAACAGTCTTGTATCAGTGTCACCTGCAGCACTCAGCTCTAACAAGCAGGTAACTCTCTGCCGCCAGAAGCCATTTTATTTATCACGTAAACAACGTTTTCCGTTATATGTGATGACGTACTGTCACTTCTTCTTCTCCTTCCTCTCCCTGTCTTCATCTGGTCAGAGGGCGGGTTCACATGTGGCCAACGTCAGTTCCATACTGTTCACCACCCTGTGTCTCCTGGGTTCAGTCTACATACTGTTCCTGTCATGGAGGGGTTTGCGCCGCTACAGTTCTCCCCAGATCCAGGCCTACTGTCACGTCTCACAGGTACGCATACAATGCACAGGGTGACGGGGCCTGTTGGTGGGAAAAAAAAGCAAAAATCTTAGTTAAACAAGCTATTGCTATGTTTTTGTAAAAATACAGTTTTATAGATAAAACAAGGGTATTTAAATACTCATATCTTCAAATGGTTTGGTACCACTTTACAATAAGGCTCCCCTTATAGGTGGCTATAAATATTTTATAGATATGTTATTAATTCCTCTATAAACACTTTATAAATCATTAATAATTGCTTATTATGCATTAATTAAGGGTGACAGAGACAAGACTGAGCAGTTTCTTGCCAAATAGTGAGACAAATCTGTTTATCTATATATTTCATCTAGAGTTGTTCTAGTAAACATTTCAGACTAAGTTACTACCTTGTAAGCACAATAAACATTTGTAAACCTATTTCTTTAGCATATAATATTGAACTTTATCGCTACATTGTAAGTATCTACAACTAATATTATATCCTAAAAAATTGAGATTTACAAATGCTTATTGTGCTTCCAATGTAGTAACTTAGTCTGAAACATTTAATATAACAACTCCAGATGAAATATATAGTTGAACAGATTTCGCTCACTATTTGGGCATAATAAACAATTATTAATGATTTAGAAAGTGTTTATAGAGGAATTAATAACATATTTATAAAATATTTATAGCCATCTATAAGGAAAGCTTTATTGTAAAGTGGTACCAGTGGTTCAATAACGCATCAAAATACAAATATATGTTCAAACACTAAAAACAATTTTTTTAAACAGAACTTTGATTTTCTGTTTTTCTTTCATTCATCATCTCAAAGCAATTCAGACTAATTGTGTCCTTGTAGTTTAAAGTTGTTTTATCTCCTGCAGACGCAGAAGCATCCTGAATATTAACACACTGATTAGATTGATCTACTGACGCAGTGTGCTTTATTTATTTATAATAAAAGGAGCAACTTAGTTTGTCAGAAGAACTTTTATTTATAAAATATTATTTTTACAATTAATCATGGGTCATTTTAGTCAATAAATAATAAAACTTGATTTCAGAGGGGGGAAACAGATGAGCGTTTAGATGATAACAATTGGATTTAAATGCTTTTAATGTATTTTTGACAGGATCCTGAGGACACTAATGGGCTTCTGCTGGAACAGGAAGTGAATTGTGAATTGCATGAAAACTCCTCAGAACTTTCCTGAAAACCAAATGACTAATGTTGACGAACGCTCTGAGGACAGTTTGAGCAATTCCTGGTGTAACATGGATGAAATCTTATCGTCATCACATGGGAGTCTCTGCATGACTTTCTCTCAAGAACAATCACAAATACCCAAAATGCAACAAATTTGAAGCCAAGGCAAGAACTGATTACACACCAAAAACAAAACAAAACTGAAGACTGTAATAATTTAAAAAGCCTAATTTTGTAAATAAAGTTTACAAGCTTATAACTAATGTTAAAGATTAGAAAGCCTTGACAGTGCAGATTAAAAAAAAAAAAAAAAAATCATGAAAATGTTTCTGCATGTTTGTTTGCTTTTGTTTTCATTTTCTTGGGTGTTTCTTTTATTGGCCGCTAGAGGGCAGCACTGTCAAAGGTTGTTCATGATGTAGTCCAGTTCTGCTTGCTGGTCCAGTCCCACTGAGCAGAACTGGACTTCCCACTAACTTACTGAGGACCTATGACCTGGTGAGTACAGAATAAAGGCTATATGTGATCTAAATGTCACTGAGTGTAAATTAAACAGAAATTTAGCTCTGTTCAAATCTTTCATGAATATTTCCATTGATTTAAATTGAGTTAATGACATATCAAGCTAACTTTTCTAAATATTTACATTTAAACTTCTTCGACATTTAACATATAAAAAACACAAGGTGTTTAACAACCCTGAGGCACACACCTAACAGATGTTATGCATCAGTCTTGTGCGATCTGAGATCTCATCCTCAGACTATTTGTTGTAAATGACTCTCAGCTTCTACATCAAACTTCAGCTCACTGTAAGTAAAACTGACCGAGTTATAACCCGTCTTGTGTTGGCTACTGTTGATCAGCTGTGGTGGTGGTCTTGAATTTGAATGACTCCTAATGTTTATCAGTTGTAGATGTACATCCAATGATTAGTTTCTGAAAGTTTCATTAGAATCTGTCCTGTAGTCCATGAGGTATTTTGCTAACAGACTCCAACACATAAGCAAAAATATTCACCTTTTGGCAATAATAAAACAAGGTCATGTAGCTGTGTTTCAAACACAGACATACACACCAACAGGCGCTAACAGACTTGTACAAGTGAAAAAAAAAATCTCAGAGTGCAACTACGTTCTCACGGCATGTCTGGCTAACAGCTTCCAGCTGTTGGGAGAGCTGCTATGGGAACACATCGAGAACAAAGAGGAACATGATATTAATTCATAAATGGATGCAGAGCTCTAGAGCAAACCAAAGCTGGATGAGGACCAGTGTCCTCTCAGACACTATGATAATAAAAACCATAGAATCACTCCTGCTGTTGTAAACTTCATCATCGCCACTTTCAGATACACAAACACTCCATTTGGCCAAATTTCCACAAATGCCGCTAGTGTTACCACAAGAAAGGAACATTAGCTGTTGAGTGAGGGAACGCAAGCTCAAACATAGGTTCAGCAGTTGGTTTGAACCTGGTGATCTGCTGAGTCACTGGTTTTGTTTGGATTGTTCGTTCCTTTAACTCCAAAGGAAATCCTTCGACTTCCACTGAGGCCGAGATGTGATGACACGAGAGTGAGTGCGTCTGGAGGAGTGGAAGCGCCAAGCGCATGTTGGGATTCCTTTTTGATAAGTCTGACACTATGAACTGAATGAATAAGAGTTTTAACACCCCCCCCCCCCCCCCCCCCCAGCTCCTTAAGAAGTGAGAACAAAGAAGAATAAGACAGACCAAGGCATCTTGAGAACATTCATCAATAATTTATTTCTTACTCTCAACAACCGGCACGGCTTCTCATCTTGAAAAGTCATTAATTTCCAACAACACAGTTCTGCAAAATGTAGTTACTATACAAATTCTTAATAGAAAAAAAAAAAAGAATAAATTAACTGTGGAATTCAGATTTTTTTTAATCAATCCCACTTTTTTTTTCTTTCTACAACGCATTTAATGTTTAGTTACAGCTGAAGAGAACTGATAAAATCAAGTTACATGCTCTATTGTCTGTTTGAGGAAGTGACTCTTAAAAGACGCTTCCTTTTTCCGCATCTGATGCTGAACCTATAGAATGAAGAAATGTCTAGATCCTACATAGTGATGCAGTAACTGGTTGTTTAGTAGCACCTGGAACGGGTTCTTTTGGATGTTGGAACTAAAAGAAAAAAAAACAAACAATACTGGTCCATATAAAAATGTAACATTGTTAAAACAATGAGTTACCCTCCGTACATACAGGAAAAGACTGATAAAACACCTCCTTTCTCCTGGAGTATTACAAATAAACCTCATCAGTATGGAGCGGGGAAAGTGCTGCGTAGGACCACAGAAGAAAATCACTTGTTCACAACGGGCTCAAAGGTTAGAGATTAGAAAATCAGGAGGCAGAACAACACTTTGGAGCAAAGGGAACTGATTTCAGCAAGAAAGAGTTGGACGTTGTGCTGTCTTTGGGTCGTTTGTCAGGTTTGCAGGGCGTGCATGGGATTGTGTCTACAGCACATGAACTGTGCACAAAAACACTGAAACCTGAATGAAGACATGAGAAAATCCTATCAGATAGAACCCAGTGATTGCTGGTTCCAGTCTTGCATAAGAGCTTATCAAAACTAATGAAGTTAGGATGAATCAAACATGCAACCAAAGCTTCCACATGTAAAAGCTATTTAACCTTTAAGGAAACCACAGCAATTAATGGAGGACAGGATGACATTTGTATTATTCCCTCTTTATCCAGTCCTAATCAGGCTTAAAATCCTCTGTCAGAAATTTAGAATTTATGTTTCTAATTCCTAGAATAATTACAAATTTGTGCAACAATAAACCCTCAATTGTTTTTAGAAACAGATTTAAAAAATGGTCGAGTAAATCAAAGAAAAGAAAAACTACTTTTTACAAAACCTAGGTGTGCTTTTCAAACCATGTTCTGGATTTTTGATTGGGATGTCTGAAAAATGATTTCTAGATTTAAAGATTTATATATCAAGACTTTTCCTCATGTCAACCTGACCATGACCTAAAGAAAAACCCAGTTATATTAACAACTACAATGAGCACAGTACAGGAACACAGTAACTGCAGGTCCAGCCCACGAATACACTAAACGTTGTGCTTTCATATGAAAAGATGCTTGAATGAACTTGATTTGACTTGATGGCAAATGAAGACAACGTTGTCTCCTGGTTGCTGCTTTCAAAAATGGCTTTTAGACAGTCATGATTAGGAGTATGTATGACTGCAGTAGGTTCAGTGGTGAATTACAGTACATATGCAAAGCACCAAGATGTTTGGAACTAATCATTTAGGTTCAGTTGCAACGCCCCAGTTTTGCTCAAGAGACGCTGTAAAGGGGCCGACAGACACTCAGCGAGGCAAGAACCAGTCTGGAGCTGTGAGCGGAGGACAAGCCTCTCAGACAAAACTGTGACATTTCATCACTGAGCAGCTTCAACATGAATCTGCAAGGTGCACCACCTACGTTAACAGTTGTGTTTCACTGGTAAGAGATAAAAATAAAAATGAGAACTCTCTCTCGTCGTTGTATCTGTAGACCAATAACTGATAAATCATGTGGCCAGACAAACAGATTTGGACAAAGTTATTTTTCAAGGTTGACATGATGAAGCCACCCAAAATAAAACCTACAAGCCTAATCTCCAAAGATTCTTCCAATGATGTTCTAAAGATCCTTCACTTCAACCATCCCAGTGCTGGGAACCTAAAAAAATGTCCGTTTCAATTTCACTCTGTTGATTAACACCAGCTCATAGTCTTATACGGTGGTCTTTATTGCTATCGTCCTCATGTGTATGTCAGATACTGTCCCAGAAAGCATCCTGATATTGTCACTGGGGTTCACTCACATTTTGCTGACCAATGGCCACGTCTCTGCTGAGGCACCTGCCCAAGAACCGTGACGTGACCAGTTGGTCCAGCAGCTGTGTTGGGAGGTGGATTAAACAGTGTTAAATCTGAAATCTTCTCTTTTTATAAATATAAATTAGGAAATTAAGAAAACAGAAACAATGGGAATGGAGATAATGAAATGCAACACAGTTCATTTAGGCCTGAAACTGACTTTTAACTGGTGGCTCAAATCCAGTGTGTATCCTCTGACTGGGGGGCAGAGGACCGGAGGGATAACAGGATCCAATATGGAACAAGTCGATGTTGGGTTTGTTGAATGTGAAAAGCATTTGCGATGTTCTGTGCTCTGTCTTTCCTTGCTCTTGATCCTCTGGCCCATTGCTTGTGTGCTCCAGAAGGTGTGGAAAGAAAGGACTGCCGCGCTGCAGGGAAAGAGATGGGGTGGCACTTCTCAGTCTGTCCTGTGAAACAAGCCCTTATCAAAACCCTGCCAACGTGTCCCTGTCCGGCTGAGCAGTGATAGACGGGCCGTAACAAAGAAGGGGAGAGATTTAAGGAGACAGACTCTTGTTTGGTCGAGTCAGGGGGTTTGTGGGACATTAAGGATGAGGTTATTGGTTGCTGATGGGTTTAATGAACAGAGGAGAGGCCATAGAAGAGGACAAAGGAATGGTTCTAGGCCCTGCAGGAAGGTCTCAGACCAGTGTCCCAGGTTGGGCCTTGTCTTTTCCGTACCACTGCACATCTGCCAGCTCCGAACAAAGAGGGCTGCTGAGAAAACAGCTATCACTAAAAGACCTGCAAAAGAAGACAAAACGGTGTCACTGATTATCGTAGCGTTTAACTTCTAAAACTTTCAAAATAAAATGTCTAAATGCTGCTGAGCCGTTATGTTGCATAAGAGTGGATTGTGAAGTTTTTCTATTAGTTCATCCTGCGAGGAGTAAACTACAGTGAAGCATCACAGCCAGAACACAGCTGAGCACATGCAAAGATCAGACACAGTAACAGCCACAGAATGATACACACAGAACCTCCACCACCAGAGCAAGAAACAAAAGGGAACCGTTCCCATTATCAGTCCTCCCTACATAAACCTACTCTTTACCAATCACTTCCTGTTCATCCAGCTGTTGTGTATGGACAGATTTATATGTACCTACTTTGATTACTAGGATACTACAAGTTTTTATCACATTTTCTTCTTCCTAAATGTTGTTACGCTGCTGCTGCGTTTTGCCAACATCACTACAGTGTAAATTTAGACCAACAGGAGTCTGAGACCACTGGCGGTACCTCTATGCATCAGAGCTGGGCTGAGGGGGAGACTGACAGATGTCCTCAGAAGAAAAGCTGTCTCCTGTGCCTCTAAAGCAAGAGAGAGGACACACACAGAAGGAAAGAGGGTTAGTAAAGACAGAAAGACAAACAGGAGAGAAATGCCAAATAGTGGGTGATGACATTTGTTCAGAAGAAAAAGATCAACAAGTGATTGTGGGAGACGAAAAATAGAAAAGAGATATGAGTAAAACATTCAGAACACAAACTGGAAACATCAAAACAATTGAATCCTAGTTTGGAAAAGAACGGCAGACACGGAGGATGAGTTTAGTGATGACACACGTCAGTGGACACAATCAGAACAGACGATAAAAGCTTATGAGTGCGTTGACCGAGGTTTGAACCAATCAGCAAAGCGAGAAGCCGAGAGGCAAAGAGGAAGCCTTATATTACCTTCCTCTGTTGCTCTGTGCACGTTTCTTACCCGCTCTTCCAGTTGAGGATGTGCTGTGGGCTGCAGGGGGGTGTGGGTGTGGCTGGGTGCTCGCTGGAGGGGGTCTGACTCCTCTGGTTGTGAGGGGATGCAGCTGAAGGGAGAAATGAGTCAGTCAAAGAAAACAAAGGCAAGAAAAGAGGCAAAGGGCAAAATAATTTCAGTTATAAATTCTCGCAGGCAGGGTTACAAGTTCTGTCTCAGCGTGACAAAAACTCTTTGCCTTAGGGGTGAAGTGACGAGAAAATCTCAGTTGAGCAAACCTTGTTGGTGCAATTTGCCACATTTCAGTCTCTTGTGATGATTGTGAGTTTGAACTTGACATGTGACATAAAGTTTTACTCTGTTCACAGATCTACTCTCATGAAGTGGTTAGTTTATGGAACTTAAACATGCTTTTTCTTTAAGCACATGTTATTACATGACTACAACGAAACTAATTAAGTAAACATTGGCTGTATTTACAATCAGCTGATGTACTCATGCGATACACATTTTAGAGAGAAGAATTGTGATTTTACCTGGTGAACCCTTGGCGAGTGTCCCTACTCTACTCCCTCGACCATGTCCCAAAGTTCCTTGCTGTGACCCAGACTCAGAAGATGTGGATCCTGAATTTGAGTGATTCCTTTCCCTCAGACTCCCTGAAGACCTCTGGTACCAACACCGCAGCTCTTCAGACACTGCTGCCCTCCCCCCTCCTCCACCGCCACCCTCCCTCCCTAACGATGGAGTCCGTACGATCTGCGATCGTGATGGCGTGAGCCGGCCGCTTCCCTCGCCTCCCTCCTCTCCGCCCCAGGCCTCTTTGTACAGCCCCCCGGCCGTGTAAGAGCTGGAGGTCTTGAACTGAGCCTTGACGCTGTAGTGACCCTCCTGGTCGCTCTCCAGACTGCGCACCACCACAGCGTTGGTGCTGCCTTCTACGTACAGAGGGTACTCCTTGATGCGGTACTGGGAGGAGGGCTGGCTCTGGCTGTGGAGGTAGACGCCTTGGTGCCCCCCTCCCATCCCACCTCCACTTGAGCCTCCAACAGAGCCGTTTTTAGCTGCCAGGTTTGGCATAGAGCCAGAATTAGAGGAACCTAAGTTACCTGCAGACCTGTAGAAGAAATACACATAAAGGCGGTGTCAGACTCACGTTAATGTTTCTGTGTTTGATGCTACTTATTTCAAATCAATTGAAAAGATATTGCTAACTGGCCCTGCACTCACCTGTGCCTTTGCCTCTGCCGCTGTCTTGCTTTAGAGGGTGAGTCTTCTCCCAGAGTAGAGTAGTTTGGATTACTGCCAGGGGGTCCACTGGAGGGGCAGTATTGTTCTGAGCTACTTTGGCTGGTGCAGGATGAACAGTCATCCAGAGGGTCAGAGCCATTGGAGCCTCGGCCTGGACCAAGGAAGAAGTCCGGACTACCCAGGGTGTGCGGGTGTGCATCTGAATCAGACGCCAGCAGTTTGCCCTGGGACTCAAGGCTGGAGCTGCGGTTCCTAAAGTGCTGAGAGAGACTGTGCAGACGTGTGGGACTGATGTCAACTGATCTGTAGAATAAGGGGGGGGAAAGAGAAACCTTTAATTTTGATTTATAAACTGTTCACTTCTCTGTGATTTATCTTTAGAGTGAGTAGTTCAGGCTGTTTGGATAATCAGTGGCTGACCTGGTGGAATGTACATAGTGTGGAGTTCTGGTTCTCAGGTCTGGTGTCGACGGCATACTGGACTGAGAGTTCCACTGAGGCATGTTCTTGTTAGGGCTGCTCTGAAGAGAGTTAGTAACTCCTGCTTCGGCACTGCCAGAACTTGGAAAACGCCTGTGACTAAACAGAATTATATACGTGTAAAAAAGGTTACTGTCTTTTAGCACACGGGGTTATTATGTTTCATATCAGTAAAATGAGACAACTTTTTCATAGCTTTGATGTACAACTCAAGTGGAAATGAACATTTGTGGAGTCCACAAACCTGGAGTGAGATGAGCGTTTCTTTACTTTTTCGTAGGGCTCATCCAGTGATGATTCGCTCCACATTTTGGGTTTGATGGGAGACTTGTCATAGTCAGAGCGTGTGTAGTGCATGTGTCGCAGGCCGTCCAGCGACTGAGGAGGAGGAGGCCGGCTATGAGACGGTGGCCGTGGAGGGAGACCTTTATGAGGCGATGCTACAGGAGAGAACGTTGGTGTACCTGTAACTTGAGGATCATCTGAAAAGGAGCAATTATTGAACAAAGTCAGAAAAGGTGGTTCACACTGAATAAAACAATTATCAGTAGCTAAGAAAGCATAGCCATAAGGAAAAATGTAAAAAAAAACAATAAAAAAAACAACAGATTTACCATCATCTAGGACAAGTGCATCAGATAATGAGCTGTCTTCAGAACAAATATTGGCTTCTACGAATGAAAAACATAAACAAGAATAGAGATTCAATTACATATCTCATAAATATAGTTTTTTATCTAAAGTAACTAAGGTGCAGCTTAGAACAACGGTGTCAGTGGTAAAAATTCCAGCTCATATACAATTATCAGATACAAAAATAGCTTTAGTAAACATTGTACCTTCAATGATAAGCGATGCCCTCTGCGTTGGCTTCTTGCCAGAGCGGACACGATACTCGTTGATGGAGTTCTCAATTTCCTGGAGCTTCTTCAGTGCATTTAGATAAGAAGTCTTTCTTTGTTTCTTCAGCTTCTTGCTGCTCACGTGAGGATCACTGGCAAGACGCCTGGCTGCCTCTGTGATCTGTGACTGAATGGCAAACTCCCGCTCTAAACGCTCCAACTCCTCTTCCTGGTGAATGCACACAAATATGAGCACAGACCTTGAGTAAAACTAGAACATCCAGAAGTCACTGGATCATTTCAGTTGTAGCAACAGAGATCAATGAACAATCCAAGAACAACACGTGCTAGTATGCAGACTCGGACTTATACTAACTCTTCCGTGTCTCCCATTCGGTAAGACACACAAGGAAAGAAAGAGTTGCCAGACAAAACATGCAGCGGAACTCATTTATCTGTGTTGTGGCTGTGCGCTTTCTCAAAACCAGACAGTCTCTATTTGGAAACTGGGTCCCCACAGATTAAAGCTCCAACATCAATCCATCCTCTCCTACACTACAGCTCCAGATTTGTGGCACAGAGCAGGTTGACCCAAGTAAAACATAAAGGTAGAATGCAAAAATAGCTCCGTAAAAAAAAAAAAAAAAGCACTAACTCATGAATGTGTTTAAAGACAAAAAAATGATGATGACCTATGACAAACTATTTTCAACTAGAATGTAATTAGTCCTCACATCTGAGAACAAACACAAGAATTCAATGGACTCCACCGAGACAGAACGATGATGTATTCCCTTGAGTTGACCTAATATTAGTCTACCTTAGTGCAGAGGAATCTCTTTCACTAACAGGCTGCGCACCGCTGAACGAGCAAATTCTGTTTCTGTGTGCAGTTTAAGGTGCTCAGCATAAATTAAGAAACATCTTTCTGCAAGCAAAGCTGTTTTTGTGATTTTGTGTGTCTGGATTCTTTTCAAAGCATACAACCTCAGTAATACACACATACTCACACACATTCATGAGCATGTACAATCCTACTATCACCACTTCCTGTGGTGAAAACGCTGCCAGACTAAATTTAGAAGCTGAGATCTGCTGGAAAATCTTGCCGGGGCACCAAAAGGCAGCAAGACGTAAGAAAAAAGTAAAGCTTCTTTTAGGGCAAGATGTCTCAGACTGCAATATTTTAATGTTCTCAGTTTAGTAACTAAAGTTTATTTGTGTGATCATTAGTTGCCTTAATGATAAAGTGACTAAGAACTGCAGTTTTTAATGTATTTATTGTGAATACTACACTTTTATGTTTTTGTTTGAATAAGAGGAGATTTGAAAGTAGGAGTTGAGCTTTTACCTCTCCTTTAGGAAGAATTTTTTGCTCATCCAGTTTGAAAGCAGTACCAATCTTCCGCCTCACTGTGGGTGGCTCTTCCCCTGGATCCAGAGGATATTCTTTAGGAAGCTTTCCTGTTAGTTCCTGGAAAATATGAGAGAACACAGGGCCTTAAAGTTAGAACAATTATGCTAGGAAGCATTTCAAGTATTCGCGAGCGATGTGGAAGTCATCTCATACCGCCTCTCTAATACAGATGCTCTTGAGTTCCTCTAGTCTCTGCTTCAGAGTTTCCTCCAGAGCTTCTTGCCTGGCCCTCAAAGCTGCCAACATGTCCTTCTTAGCAGTTTGGGAGCTGTCCGACTCCTGAGAGCCTGCAGGGTGTAGACAACACATAACGTAAATGAGTCTGGAGCAAACTTGTGAGGCAGATTCAGGGGGGTAGAAACTGCGTGTGCACCTGCTGGTCTTACAGGATGTTTACATGAAATGAACGGAACATTTTGATAAGGAAACTGAGCTTTAGAGCCGTGTTTGTTATGGCATGTGAGTGTTTGGAGAAAAGGGCAGTTTAGGACAAAGTCTGTGACGCACATTTCCAAGGCCCTGAGATGCTGCCAGTCTTGTTTGCAATGTGCTTTGTTGAACACCCCCCCCAAAAACACACACACAAACACATAGACTGTTTCTTTCTGTTACTTTCTCATTGTGGTTCACTGTGTAATTGAACTTTTAAATAATTCTAAAGTAACCACAGCTGAAAATGTTTAGTCACAAAGAAACCAACAACAGCGCCTTAGTGTTGCAAGATGCGCCACATGGAAGTTCAAAGATTCTGATAATGAACCGTGGGTAGCTGAAAAGGCTACAAACACTTCTGTTTGGCGTGTACTCTTCGATAGCAGCCACATTTAAGCAACACCTGCTTTCCAGGTTTTAAGGAAAAGTAAAACAAGCAAAACCTTACCGTCTCAGCCCAGCAGTCAAGAAGAATCTCTACTTGTAAAAGTTTATTAGGTTTACGCTGCAGTTAACAGTGAAAATCAACTGACCATGAAGCAGAGAAAAGTGAAACAAAAAACAGGATGAAGAAGGATAAGACGAATGCAGTCTGATATAAAACAGGAAATAAACTGAGATTATTCTGTGCAGAACTTTAGTCAACATTTTTTTTTTCTTTTTAAATATGATGTTTAAATACACTGATTACACTTGTCTTGAAATTCAACAGAGTTCTTTGTTGTAAGTGATTCAGTAAAAGCCTAATATAACTAAAACAGCCACTCAGTAGTTATAGTAGACATCGTCCAATATTTATAAATGTTTGCGTCGTCCAAAAGATGCCATTTATATTCATAAAAAGCACACCCTGTTGCAGAACATAAAAACTATTTCATCCTCACCACACTCTTAATCATAATAACTTATCTTTTTCTTCCAACAACTCTTATTTATCAACAAATAAACAAAAATGTAGCTGCACAACTACTTTAACAAGTCATCCTGACGCATGCTCAATAATCCAGGTAGAAACGTGTAAACAAAGTAAAGTCAGGTCCTCTGGATGGATTCTTCTTGTTGAAACGTTTCATCTTTTATCCAAAAGACTTTGTCATTTTGACATCATTTTGATGAAGTCTTTTGGATAAAAGACGAAACGTTTCAACAAGAAGAATCCATCCAGAGGACCTGACTTTACTTTGTTACTTTGATACTTTTACAAGCAGTAACTTGAAATTATTGTGTTCTCAATTGTTTTCAGGTGTGAAGGAATTTAGACTCACTCTTCTTTATATCATTGCTTCAGTTTTGCTTTATTAAGGTTCTACCACATCAATGGATTAAAAAAAACTGTAAGGTGCCCAGGCCTTATGGCTGTAAAATAAATCCATATCATCATATCTCCACTACCGTGCTTGATCGTTTGCATAAATGTTTTACTTTGAAGTTCCGGTAAACATGCAGGACATATACTCCTGTCAAGCTTGGCAGATATCTTAAATCCCACTGAAGCAGTAAAGCTGGCTTTATTTCTCCTCAACATTATTTTGCATTTTGATCGAGCTTTTGTATAAATAAATAATGACATGGTGTAGAATGTCACATTTTTTTGTTCCATTGAAGTTTTTATTCGTCTAATTTTTTTTAGAACAAGTAAAGATCAGATGATTTTGTTTTGTTTTGATACATTCTTTTTACCATGCCTGTGATGTAACATTGAAGCAGTAACTGGTCATTTTACTACACTTGTCTTTCTTCTCAGAATTTAAATGTCAGTCTGGGCCCAAAGCAGCATTGCCCTTTCATTTCTAATTTTGGTTCATATACAAATCTTCCCGTCACATTCAGTACTTGTTCAACTCTGATAAGCATTGTCTTAAAGGCTATGGTGAAATCTGTACACCCACAGCTGCCCTTTCATTCCCTCATCCAATCAATTTAGAGGAGGACGGGGGCCTCTGGAGGATGAATCTGTGCGACATGGAGGGTGGGAGGGGTGTTCTGTATGTGTACATTATGTGTGGGAGAACATTCAGCAGAGAATGAGTAGTCTCTTTCCTGCAGCAGCTGTTTCTGTCTGTCCAAAACTCCACCATGCCAACACACAGACATTCCCATATTATCTTTTTCCTTCAAAGTTTGGTAGACTTTTTGCCTCATGGTTTTAGTTTCTTCCACATACACTCACACTGACCTGAGGAGAGTAGACTTCCACTGCTGCCACTGATAATCTTGCCCTTGCTGCCCATGTTGGCCAGTTTGGATGTCTTCAGAGTTCCTGTTTCTGTGAGGTCTATAGCAATCTCACTCAAACTCCTCGCTGCATGGATCTTTGACTGAGGATTAAAAAAAAGAGAGACTGTCAAACCTTTTAAAGCTGACTACGGTAATTGGTTTAAATAGTGTATATTCCTTGTTCTTTGTTACCCAAACCAGCTGCATGACAATATTTTTTTGTGAGAAAGACTGACCTTGCTCTGCTTGCGGTCCAGGTAGAACTGATGTTGGCTAATAGCCATGGCCCAGATGGACTTGATGAGTGCAGGACAGGCGTACCAGGTGTGCACAGCTATACCACTGTGGCCAAATGTCCTTCTTGTTACCGACGCCCTACAGTAGGAGCGGACACAAGGCCTCCTTATATACACTGAATACAAAAGGTCTCCTGATGGCACTGAGAAGCACAAATGATGATGATGAAGATGCTTTTTTTTTTAGAGCTACACAAAATGTTCTGAGTTGTTTACTCATCCTTTTTAAACAGCCATGTGTAGTGGAGCAGCAGAGCAGTTCCCGCTAATGACAGCTTCCTTTAAAGAAAACACCACTGCTCCCTGTTTCACCCTGTCTGTCTCTTTTTCTCCCATTCCCTCCCTTAGTGTCTGTAGAATAACACTCCAAATATATAGCCATGTTAAATAAACACAAGAGAGGTCACTTCCTCAGCAAAATGGCTATCACTCAGCCATCTATCCTTTTGCAGTAATCTGTCTTGGGTTTACTTTGTGTGTGTGAATATGTATGCGACTGAGAGCACATATTTATAAATGCAGTGACTATAAATCTAAGTTACATCCCCAATAGCATGCCAGGCTGACAAGACTCATTTTATACCCTTAACCAAAGTAAATAGGAAGTTCTCTTTTCCTGCTCTGCACACAACTTTAGAAATATTCCCTTTAGGCAAAATGTGAATTTACAGTAAAAGCTACTGTAAGTTATTCATAAATGAACAAAACACTTTCACTAACGTAAGATTAAGTTATATAAATACTTGATACCTGAGAACTATGAGAAAAATGGTACGATGCAACAATTAGTCTAACGATTCGTGTTGAAACATCCAATGTTCTTTTTTGAGTTATTAGTCTGAGTTTGTGATGTAAATTTACCTTCTGGGGTCATGAACTTCCACTGAAAACTTCTTCTCTCTGAAGTAGAGGTTCTCCAGCTGACGCCATTGAAACACCTGAAATTTAAGAGAAACAGACGGTCTTCAGGACGGCTCAAAGGAAAAAAAAAACAAAAAGTGCTTCTCGTTAAATCCACAAAACCTGATCTTTTTGCTGAATGCTTCAATTTGTTTGACAAGAATATGCAAAGAAAACAGAAGACCAGGGAGAAAAAGAAACGCCGATAAAAATGTTTTTGTTATGGACAGAAAGACGAGACCTAATCTGGAGGTCTATGATCAGGTCCAGACACAGCAGTCTTTTCACAATAAGTCCCAGGACTGAATGACCTCACACTGGAGCAAGACAGCGTGAGCGGAAGAAAGCTTGGCTTTTCTCTCTCTCTCTCTTCCGTCTCCTTCACGAACCATCAGCTTTTCTACAAAGTAAAGCCTCAGCCAGCTGGACAAGAAAGTTCTCTTCAAGACGTCCTGCACAGCCGGTGTGCATGTTCAGCCCTCCCCGGTGTAAAGACAACAGAAAAGTTGGAGGTGGTAGGTGTTCACCATCTGGAGTCATGTGGATGTGTCGTGCAGAGAAAGTGTGTAAAGTTAAGTTTCCTCTTCTCCTGGCGCTTTGCTGGGAGGGTTTTGAAGAGAGAGGGAGTTTATCCCCACCTCGTGACCCCTCCTCCCTCCCTCAGGGATTGCGTGTTGTGCTCCAGGCTGCAGTTGGGAGGTGTGTGTGTAACGGGTTGGTGAAGTGTATGTGTGTGTGGGCTGGTAAAGTGCGAGTGAAGTTTTTTTTTTTTTCTTTGTTAATCAAACTTTCCTGTTCAGAAACATTCACAAAAGCTAAGTCTTGTTAGTCAGAAAGTAAAAGGTGGGCTATTTTAATGCACAGCATGGTCTGCATCTGTAAAGTCAGTATTTGCATGTTTGTGCAGCACGAGGGACAAAAGTCAGCTGCCTTATCATAACTGTTGCTGTAGCATAAACGTCCAATGGCGTGTGAAGTGCTAATGTAGCATGGTGCTAAATATAGCAGGCAGGGCAATTTCTAAGTGACTGTTTGAGCGTGTGTGGGTGCGTTGGTTACTTATGGTCCAAAGCTGTGGAGATAAGATTGGAGATTCAAAACAGTTTTCTGGCAAAAGACCACAAAGGCTGTCCTGGCCATCAACTAGGCAGAGTTGCTGCAAATGTTACTGTCGTCTTTGATGCTCCAAGATAAGCTACATGTGCAAACAGTCTATTAGCTGTTGCATTATTTAGGCAAAATGTTGCCACCCTAAAGTAAAAAAAAAAGTACATTTTGTTATAATTTGAGACATTTCAAACTTACATAAGCCTACTGTATTATTTAAAAATTCTAATTCTTCTAAAAGATTGATTGTAGCTTGAATAACTGATAAAAAAAATGAAGTTCTTTCTTTTTTTTTTTTGAGAAACTCCTGGGTGGTTCTGTTATTAGAGGTGGTATATAAATGTGTGCACACATAGCTCCCCTTTCCTTTTTGGCTGTAAAATACTCACACACAATGGCACAAACACACACAACCAAAGGAAGTGACTGGTCGTTATTCATCACTGAGCAGAGTGCTCATGTGCACAGACCCGTCTATCTCGTATTAATGTCTGCACAACCAAACACACATCTATCACAAATACGGTTAAATCTGATAGAGTGCAAATGCCTGTAGCTGACTCCCTGGAGATTACAAGAAGAATAGAAGGTTTAAATAGAATAGGTCAGTACAACAGACGCTAGGCTTTTTTTTCCTCCTGAATTTGAACCTGGGGCTTCAAGACAATTGTTTCATCTAAGGGTGGGGTTCTTGTGTGCAAAAATAAGCCCACAAATAGTCTCCGAGCTACAGATAGGTTTACAATAAGAAGAAATGCATGTGAGATGACAATGAATAATTTTTTTGGTCATATTTACAGAAAACCTTCTGGCTCTCCAACAGTGCCGACAGCTTAGTCCAAATCAGTTGGTAAGGAAGTCAGTAAACATCCAAACTCTATAATCTATGCCTAAAGGAATTACAAGACACTAATGAGGCATTAGAACAGTGTGGTATTCCCTAGTAAACCCCAGCGTGTGTGCATTGTAGAAGAGTCTGCATGTGGCATGTGGTAAGCAGAGGGAGACTTATTTTAACGTCTGAAAATGAATGTGGTTAAAAACAACAGGATCACTTCAAGTAAAAATGCCTCCAAATTAAAAAAAAAACAGCTGCCCCCACTTACGATGTACACTTATTATATGAGACCGTGTGAAACCAGATCACATCACATTTCACTCTTTTCCATTCCTTTTTAGCCCTACCCCTACATTTTGTGTGCTCGAGCCAGTGGGAAGGGTTTCCCATTTCTATTTGTTATGTCAAGTCAAGGAGCAGGGTTTACTGACTCTTAAAATAGTAGACAAAAAAGAACAAAAAACACTAACATAAACATGCTCATTGATAAAAAAAAAAAAATTTCAGTGGCACAAAAACCATATATCTAATTTGATATGTACTGATGCATCATGTTTGATATGACTGTTGCACTTCCCTAACAAGCATAAACAATAACCTTATGATGTATGCGAAGTCTGTTGCATGCTTGATACTACATGTACTCATGTACTACATGTACTACATGCCATATTGACATAAGAAAGGAATTGTCTACAACAGATGTCATGTGAACTTCTTGAAGAGATGTACCATGTGAAACATTTTGAACGCTACTCTTTATGACCTCTGGTTAAGGATGAAGGTTGTGTTGTGTTGGTAGGGGTAATGTCACAAAATGGAATTTAGCCTGAGTATCTAGCATGTGACAAAGAAAAGACTCGTGTTGTTAATTATTCATATATTTCAGTGATCTATAGTTTTTGACAATTGGTGTTCTGACTCAACCTCTCTGAGTCAGAGTATTTAGAATACCAGGGAGGATCACTGAGTCAGTGGTTACTGGTACTGAACTGGGCGGCTAATGGAATATTCACCAAATCTAGACTTCCTGTTGATCTAACAGTGATAACACTTATTACAAAAATCACAAGTGAATCTATTCCAGTGATGTTCCTTGTTTCCAGAATTCAGCTCTAGAATGGAAACACTCTCCACTCTATTTTCTCTGCCATTCATCTTTACTGTGTTCACTTGAGCAGGGGTAGTATTATAAGAACACAAGTACATAAGAATTTTTTTCTTAACAGAATCTGCTTGTTCACCAAAATTCTGGGTTGTCTTCAACCTTTACAATAAAGAAGACAAAAAACACTAAAGAAAACTGTAATTTAATAAGTGCATTGCACTACTGTATATACACAGTTTACTATATGACAGTTTTCTCAGTCAGCCATCTTGAGGACTGCTTGGAATGTCCAAGCTACTGAGGCAAACTCTCAGGAACTACAGGAATGGAACTTCCTCATTCTCCTCCTCTTCCTCTTCTTGCCATCAGACTTTGCCAGAGAAGCACTCACAGTGAATTTAAGGCTCAGCCACAACAACTTATTGCTTAAATTAACCTGTCTAAATAAAGGTTGAATGAATGAAAAAAAAAAATAGAGTGTAGAACTTAATTTTGCAGCTTTTTATGATAAACTACACAAAGCTGAAACTGACTCTCTCACAGAGAAACATACTTGGTACAATCTGGGACATATACAAATTAATTTGTTAGTGTTAATATTGTTTAATTATAAGAACTAAAGCAGCAGACACAGCCTCCTCTCTAATTGTGAGAGACACTCAGGCTGAGCATGCTTCCACGACAGCGTGCTCTCTCTCTCTCTCTCAGACCCGGAGTTTAGTTATGCACGCATGTTGCACGTCTGTATGATGACGACGCTCCAAACACATTAACATTTTATACAAAATTAGATTTTAGATACAAAGTCCCGGGGAGGTTGGGGGCGCAGTGTGAAAGCAGAGGGTGGAGGTAATGTTGTCTCAGTTCTGGTATCTCCCCTGGCTGCAGTGAATTGGTCATGTGCGAACACAGGTTTACTACGTAGACATTTAATAAGTTATTACATTACCTTCAGTTAGGCTAGTGGGGTGTCCTCCTTGGAAATTAGTACAGGAAGCACTGATTGGTGCTCTCACCTGCAGTCTGACTGAGTTAGGAACACTGCACACACCCGCCATGTATCAGTGGCTCTGTGTTTTTATTTGTTGAAAGCAGCATCAGTTTAATCCCTGTATCATTATTAGATTGGATGGCTTTTTAAAGACTGCAAGAAAACAGACAATTTTCCCCCTTTCATTTTTACAGATGTTCAAAATGATGGGAATCCATCGCGGCAATGAAGAACTTTAATTGTGTCTATTTCATTTGGTTGTCCACCGGACAACCTCAAGGTGAGATCTGGTTGTCTGAGACAAACAGAAACCGCTTATGTCGACCCCTGCTTGAGTAAGCTGAACTTGTGATTCTGATGAGGTTCATGCAACTCTTTTTAGCCAAGCTTAAGTCCACAATTAGACTTGCTCCATAAAGAGGCCGAGTCTTTCATTTTTCTCTGCTCGTGATAGTGTGCGTCAGTACTGAACTTAAAAGACCAGTGACTCAGTCTGATAGTTGCTATGGAAGTTGAACACTTAATAATTCATACATATAGGAATGGTAATAGCTCTTTCAATTAATCTTCCAATCTGGTTGTGTGGTGTTTAGGTTATCTTTTACCGTCAACTTAAATGTATTGTATGTAAACGACAAAAAACACTGTGCTTGTGACCAACCCATATATTGTTTTGAAATGCTCTGGTGGCATAGCATCTGCAATTTGGATATAACAAGTTAATAACCACCACAAAATTTAGAGAATTTTAATGAGACAAAGATGGGGGTTTAGTGGTGAGGGTAATTTAGGCTAAAATGCACAAATCAAGATGTATGCACATTAACAAAACATGTTAGTGGCAAACAGGAAAGCCTTTAGCAGTCAGGAAGTGTTCATCAGGATGGTGAGTTCAATGTTCAGTCCGCTTCCAGTGTGTATGTGCATTTATTAGTGTAGTGACTGAGTTTACAAGAGACAGAATAAGCCTTGGTGTGAGTAAGTCCTGGTGGTCTGTAGGTATGCAGGAACGCTGTTAGCACCATTAACACCCTGCAATACAAGGCTGACTGAAAACAGATCAAGCTGCCAAAGAATATTGTGAGTCAGAGGTGACACAAGACTGGGAGTCTATTCATCCAGATACACACTGGGAGGAAAGCTTCTTCACAAAGGCAGAAATAAATTTAGGGCAGGATATAACATTCCAGTACTGAAAGTCTTTTGACAGTTGTAATCGTAAAACAATGTTAGTACTCTTCACCAACAAAACATTCTGACTAACTGAATGGAAAACTAGACAACAGGGGACACAAAAACAGATAGAGAAAATCATACTATACTGAATGAATGCTTTTGAAGCAACACATTATCCATGCACATACTAATCTTGAGGGGGGATAAATAAACTGAAAAGAACTGAGTAAAAGTTGCGTCAGTAAAGAAAATATTTTTAGAAATCATACTTTTACAAAGACTCAATAGCATTACAGACACTGTTAAGTGTTTCTTGGAACTGTTTAAAAAGTATCAAACAGGAACTGAAACCTGTGCTGGGAAGTGTTTGTCTTGTTTAGAAGACAAATGTAATTGAGCATCAACTCACCTTCCTGGGTTTTACTTTGTCCTGGTAGTCATACTGAAAGATGCCTTTATAGCTCAGACCCAGCCACCATGGGATCCCCTGTTTGTCCTACAAAACAAAACAAAATTCCTTCAAGTCTGCTTTCAAGTTCAGAGCGAACAAAAATGTATGCATGTGTGAGAGAAAAGCAAAGGCAGAGTAGTAAAACATTACCTTTACAGCATAGTAATGCACTCCATATGTGGGCAGAGACTCTGCAATACTCATGTAACTGTAAGGAGAGGAAAAAGCACACATTTAAGAGCTACAAGAAAGAAAAAGCCTACAGATGAGAGAAAAATAACTAGAGACACAGTCACACTTACTTTACAATAGCCTGCCCTCTAGACTGCCCATTGAGCTTCTTGTAATGCTCTATGACCCTGTCTTCACTGTCAGGAAAACAACAAAACAATGTTATTATGAAGACGGGCTACAGGCGAGCCTGCACAAAGGACAACTGAAGTCTCTCACCAGTAGGCCAGAGATGGGTGCTCCTTTAAAGCCTGGGTGGGCAAAGCAGGCAGCCTTTTTAAATCAGACCTGGTTGCATCCTCACTGGAAAATGAAAAGAAAATTGTCAACACGAATTGTCTATCGCTGCTTTAAGACCGATGAGTTTCATACACAAAGCCTAACAGATTTCAATAAGCGCTGAAAAAAAGAAACATATGTCTTCAGAATGCTTTGAGAATAAATTTAGGAAAAATGGGAGAAGAACTGCGTTCAGAGGAGAAAAAAAAAAAAAAAAGAATAAGTGCTGATGGCCTGAGCACACTCTATTTTAAGGACTGGGTGTGGTCTGTCTTTGAACAGCTGCAGTGGGGGAAAAGAGCAACAGAAAAGCAGACACAAAATCAAAAGACAAATAAAGATGAAGGGAGATGAAAATGAACAGGCATGGTGCTGTTAAAGATTAGTAAAAAAAAAAAAATAGAGTAAATGAGACTCTGAGCCATGCAAAGAGTTAAAGAGACCTGGTCCTGGATTCAGTTTTCAGGCCTTCAGTGGCAGTAGTTTGTAATGCCTTACTCTAATCCCCCCTAGCCCCTCTCTAGCCTCCACAAAGGCCCCAGAAGATTGGGAAAAGCCCTGGGAACATGACAACCTATGAGCTAAGGCCCTGGAAACAATCCCATCCGCCCTGCTCGTCTGTTCTTGGATGTGTGAAAACAGCTGTGTGTCTGCTTAGGTTAATATCCAGTTGTGTGGCTATTTATCAGGTGTGTATGGTTTTGTGCATTACTACAGTACTGTATACATGACACTGACAAGAGAATGCAATGAACACACAAAGATATCTTTATGACCCACTGAATCTATTAGCATTGACCTTATATTACTATACGAAACAGAAGAAAAGACAATTCAGAATTTTTTGTTGGAAAAAATCTATTTGCATAAAAACAAACAGTTTATTATTAATATTTTAGAAATACTGTATTTGGATAATAATTGAGAGTATATTTTAATAAAGGCAGCACTGACAGACAGTGAAGTCAATTTAATAGCAGAAATTTAATTGAGAATGATAAACCACTGTATGTCCCCAAAAGAAGGGTCTAAGGCAGATGTGGGCAACATATTGTCTTAGGGCCAAAAATGGCCCTTGGGTAATATCCATCCGGCCCCCAATATCCTTAAATGGAAAAACCGTGATAAGTGAAAAACCGCAAAGTAGGAATACAGTAGTCCAAGTTCAAGTTCAAGTTCAGTAAACTTTGTCATGAGGTGCCAGACTGCAATCACACGCACTCATCACCTATTACTCCCAATCTCCCTACTTAAATAAACAATTTAAATTTAAATACCTGTACTATAATATTTTAAATAAACAATCCATGGATTGTTTATTTAAATTACAGTAATTAAATTTAAATTATAGAGAAGAGAAGCGCAGCAGGACATCCAAGGGTTAACTCTTCACGTAGCTCTGCAGCATGAAGCAGAAATGATCCATGACACTGAAACAACTGAACATAGAAGTTCTAAAATAATTAAAAATAACTTTTCACTTTTATATTTTGTGATTATGAGGATTTTACAATGTGACATACTTTGAATTTTAAGTTGGAAGACAAAAGTCGATTGGTGCAGCTGGACAGCAAAGGGTTAACCCTTCACAAAGCCGATGCAGCACGAAGGAGAAATGCAGGAGGGAGCTTCCCCCTGCACTTGTCGACTGCACACAGGTGCTAAAGCATTTAAAATAATTTATTTTAAATCAACAATCCATGGCTCATCCATCAATCAGCTAATTGCGTCATGTCTGATCTTACTTTGAAAAACCACGATAGAGCGAGTTTGCGGAAAACGAAACGCAAAGTAGCGAGAGACTACTGTAATCATACCCATCTGTTCACAACAGACTCATGTTCAGGCTGTTGTTAAATATACCGTATTATATTACATTATTATTGTTTAGTGTATATCTTAGATCCTCGTATAATGTTTCTTTTTATACTTATATTTTTGCTATTTTTGGGTGTAACTGGGACCTTGATTACACAATTTCATTCCACCTTATGTACCACATGTGGTGAAATGACAATAAACAACCTTGAACCTTGAAATCGCATCTACTTTATTCAAATTTTTCATTCCAGCGTCGATCCGTTTACAAATTAAGCCCTGCTGTAATGTATGATGTAATGTGTAAATGTGTGTGTGTATTTGTGTGTGTGTGTGTGAGAGAGAGAGAGAGAAAGGGGTAAAATAATGGGGAAGGACATGAAAGGAATGTCTCCAATGTCACATTCCATCTATCCACAGGATGTTGTGCTTATTTACTCCTTTCACAGAAGGAAATGAGGTCAGAGGTGACGGCTGCTGTACTCGGTTATGCATCCAACAACAAAAGAATGAGAGATGATATACAGTTAGGCCAACAAGAGGTACCACTTTAGGGATGTTCATCAAATGAAATATGTTCATGAATGTAACTTTCCTGAATCATTGTGTCAATCTAATTTAAATTTAAAAGGTGACATGTCATTTTTAACCGGACCAGCAAATATCTTCCCAGTTTCTTCTAATTTTGTCATTCTTTATTAAAAAAATCTGTTCGTTGTAAACTTATTCAAATTAGTTTTGCATATTTTTGTCTATCGTTTTTGGAAAATGCAAACATAAAAGGGCAGTAAAGGTGGAAATGGGTGAACAGAGGTGAACTAGGCTGGCAAGAAATGAGTAGAAAGGGATGAAACAAAGAGAATGATGCACATCAGCGTTCGAGGGAGCACATGTGCAGATACATCACTATTATAATCTCTGTCTGTATATGTACTTTGTTTTAATTAATATACAGCACCATTCAAAGGTTTTTAGTCAGGATATGGTTTTGAGGTTGTGCTGTTTTGTTTTATTAGTTTTGCTATCTTGTTCTTGTTTTTCCATGTTTCCTTGTTCTTTTATTTTTAAGATTCCTTGTGCTTGGTTTGTTTAGTTTCCCAGAGTCCATCCTTTTTCCCTCAGTCATACCTGCCCTCTCTCACCTGCTCCCCATGCTCATTAATCTCGGCTGTCTTCACTTGTAATCCCTCCTCCTAGCCTTTATACTCTTGGATTATTGTCACTCATCAGACTGTCATAATTGCTGTTACCTGCCTGTTTCCTTTTCTGCCTGTTCACCATGTGCACGTCGTCAGTTTTAGTCTCAGCATTTTGTTGCTGCCCTGTCAACTTTTTCTTTTTGTTACTAAAGTCCAGGTTTGTTCTCTAGCCCTTGTGTTCCAGACTGCATTATTGGGACCTTCTGAAACCTATTCATGACATTTTATTTGAATAGTTAGGTTTGTCCAAACTTCTTGTATTTTAAGTCATCCCTACTGCAGTATGGGTTTATGCTGGGGACAAATTTAAGAGTAAAACTTTACATTTCTATAGCATCTGAGATCACACATTCAATACTTAGAGAAAACAGTTTGAAGAGACTTTGTTTGTTTAACAAGATATCTTACAGATAAAAAAAAAGAAAGAGATAGAAACAAGTTTTGTGCTTACCTACTAAAATCACCTTTAGCTTCCTGTGAAACACAATGAAAAAATAAGGTCAAAAAAGGTGAATTGAAACCGGACTTATTTAGCGATGTCTGATCACTAAATCAGATCTCTGTTCTGTGTGCAGATGCCTGCACTGCTGGAACCAGAGAGGAACACTAAACATCCAGAGTGAAACCTTTGAAGGCCTGCAGAGCAGATACCTGATCCTGTACATCTGCACCTGCAGGCAAACACACTTACGCACACTTATGTACATGCCACTCAGGCCAGTCTATGAGTAACATGACCTTACATAATCAGGGTTAATGGACTGACCTTCTGTGAGAACAGAACAAGAAATAGAGAAGGGTTGATGTTGAGGAGGATTTATGAAATGGTTTTATTGTGTTCCGTTTCCAGTCAGTACACAATCTATGTAGTAAAATTATAACATTCTTAAAATTTATTACTTTAGTTTGTGGTGCTAGTTCAAAATCCAATCCAGGAATTATTTGGTAGAAAATATTTTTTCTACAAGAATAGATGTTTTAAGAATTCAAATCCTCCCAAGGTCACAGCAGATTTACAAAAAAAATGGTGATTGTGTCTATTTATGCAAGTTTAATCTCAGCCAGTGATGACAGAAGTAAATTACATGAGTTTAAGCAGCAATATCTAGAATTAAATATGGGTAAAAATATTTGATTTTCAGCAGAACCGTTTCAAGCCTAATCAGCATTTACTGGAATAACTGTGGTATTTTAAATTACAAAGTCATGTTCAGGTGAGAAAAACAGGTAAAAAGGCATCCACAAAAAAATCCCAAATACTACATACAGTACACATATTCAAACAAGGACGATTTATCTTACTTGTACGATGTAGGAGGCCAGTTCAAAAACAACCTCGCTGTCTACTTCAATAAGCTCCTGCAAAGAGAACAGAAGCAAACAGAAGCCATGAAAACCACATTCTTTGGCTGGTAAGGAGTAAATAAATAACAGACTTCATTACTCAAGATAAGCAGCAAGTTCTCTTTCCTTTACAAACTTAATTTTTCACTCTTCTCTAATCTCTGTAATCAGTAAAGGGGGTTGGGAGTACGGGGTTAGGAATTAAGGGTCGGCATGAAAACTCTGGCTGCTGATTAACTGGTAAATTTGAAAATGTGTTTCTTTTAGGTCTATCCTGATTTTCTTTAAAGACTTGATTGAAAAAGCGAGATGAGGCAGATTGGTGCATGTTTTCTGTGGCTGGCTTGCATAATTATGAAAGTTAGTACAGATGCTTTCAATGTATACAACACTGGACAACATGATAAGGGTCAACAGGCTGTGAGTAGTGGCTGAGGTATGCTTGGAATGCTCCCTTTACAATCCACCTCTTAATTAGTTGGAAGATCAGAAGTCAGGATGAAACACTAGAAGGAGAAAAACCACCCTGAGCTTACCACCCAGCATGACTGGTTACGAACCACCAGTGTGCTGTTGTTTTATCGTTTGTACTTTTGTGACACAGCTAAATGATTTTCACTACAACACTTACTTCAGAATGTACAATCATCTATGTAATTTTTTGTACTGGCAAAATATTCACTAAATAACTTTTACTATCCCTTCTTTTGCTCTCCTTTTCTCTCTTTCCTTCTGTTCAGTCATTATGGTTTTCTACTGCTGGATGTTAAAGTGCAGACTAGATATGTTCTGGAGGCAATTTAATATTCATTATTCATTCTGTATTCACTGGTTAACTGGACATAATTAACTTCACGCAGACTCTCTCACTGGTACATTTTCATCTTTAAATCACTTCTTGGTCTGCTGTCTTCATACATCTCCTCCTACATGTCTCTGCGTGAGTGCAGCTACAGCGTGCGCTCTCAGGACATTATTACCTGCAGTGTTCCCTCAATGAGGACTGAACTAAGCAAAAGGGCCTTCTCCTACTCTGCTCCTGTTTCCTGGAATATCTTACAAAAATATTTGAAGCTCTCGACCTTGACCTCTCTAAGTGGCTTTAAGAATTTGTTGGACTCCTGGCAGGGACCAATGCAGACATGTTCCTGTTTTTAGTTTTCTACATTCGCCTTAGAATCTAGCTGTTTTTTGTTACCTTTTCCTTTTTCCTTTTTTCCTTTTAGCCATCCTATTTGTCTTGCCAACAGACACGATCAACAAACCAGATGCCTACAGTGTCTAAGTTAAAATTAACATGTGTTTCTCCTAAATAAATATAACATGCTCCTAATGCACAAAAGGTACATACATACATACATACATTACAGACAGTGCAGATAATAACTGTTCTTATAACACTGTAACAGCTCTTGTTCTTCAAGTTGCATGTGCTTTCCTACGAATGCAACTGCTGTCACTGTTGTTATCAAATGGAGGCTGACAAGAATAAATCTATATGATTGACAGGTGCAATAATTGATTCCGCTGAGCGGCCAGTGTGTCAGTGCACAAAAGCTGTTAAAATGTTTTCATGTAACTTTTTGCCTTTGAACATTCCTCCATGGGCAACTTTCTGTCAAGTGTTTATCCTAAAGTACGTTTTCAGCTGCTGTTCACAAAGCATACCTAAATGTGCCTCAGCATGGCCAGATGGCAGTAAATGTGTCAAATTATTTGCTAACTGCTGGAATATGAAGAAGCACATAGCGTGATGGTGAACAGCTGATGCAAACAGCTCAGATTTTCTGCTTCACCAAAATCAACGAGCAGGACAGAGGTCCAAGCTTTCCTTTTGTGGCATCTCTTCATTTAGACCCAAAATTGGGTTAATGAAACGACAAGTCTCCAAAACTCAACTTTAAAACACCCTCTGACCATCTTGAACCTATTTTAGCTAAGTGATTTATATTGAAGGAAAACTGTGGTTTTAAATAGAACACATCTGTACAACTCATATAAACACATTCATGCGTTATCAGAAGCCCAATAAGAACAATATAAAGGGTTTACCTTGTTTATTATGGACTTGGCATTAAGGAAGAACAATTCAATGGTAGCATTGTCCTTTAGGTAGGATATACTTTCAATGTAGAACCTGAAAACAAAGAAGAAGGTCTTGAATACGTAAGCAACTTTAAAGAAATCCAGGAAACAATTAATCTTTAGTCTAATGAATGTGTTTTTTTTTTACTATGATTGTGTTTCAGGAAAAGATGTGCAGCATAAAAATTTACACGCAAGCTTTGGTAATAATACAGTATACAGATGTGAAAACCATGCAACAATGAAAAAGACCACAGGGAGGCAGCACATACCAAAAGCTGCCCCCCCTACAGCAGCTTCTCACTTCCCTTTAGCACACAATAACCCTCTCACCATGTTGGCTGGCAGCAATCCATTATTAGTCTGTTAGAGTGTGCACATTCCACAATCTGAATCTTTAAAGACCTGCATACACACAGACTTTGAATGTGCACATGATGCACTTCACACTATTGTCTACCTCTAAGCATCATCAGCGGTGATTGCACACACGCATCCAGTACAAAAGCACACACACAGAAACATACAGGAGCGAGAAGCACAGTAACCCACTTCTGGCAGAGCGGTGAGCAGAGAACTAACATAATAATGTTGACTAAATTTAGCTCATGAATATATGGAGTGCCTGAAGGGAGTGAGGACGGTGCACTGGGAGGATGCACATTGTAAGCTCCTCAAGGGGAAACTCATATCAAAAAGATTCTGTAGGATCCAGATGCTCTTACATGCCCTTTTATACGTGATGTCACATCCAATCCCTTATCTGCATTAATTTAACTCCTGCACGAAAGAAATTACGAGTTTATGACTTTTTATTTCCTTGCAAGTGTGCATAACACGAGCTATGTAAGCACGTGTTCCCATGCATGCGCGTTAATGAGTAAGTTGATTTGTATGAGTGTGAATAGGTACTGAGCGAGAGGGGTTGTAGGGTGATCGATATCGGAGGGCTTAAATAGCGTTAATCATTGAGCTGCAAGAGAGAGCGAAAGGAGCCATGTCAATATTCAGTGTGAACATTTAATTAAAGCCACAGCATAAATGAGACATACACACATTGCCAGCACAGCAGCAAGCGTGCACAAGGACACCTACTGAATCAGCAGGAGGTGGGCATGTGCCTAACATTAATCAGGAGCACACAGATCACACAAATACCACACGAGCGTGCAGAAACGTGACGTGAATGAACCGGCGTACAGACAAACACACATCCACACATAAACACATAGCAGCCCTGTTAATTGTGCTTATAAACCTACTGCACATGAGACTGATAACAGATTCAGACCTGACATTTAAGCCAATTGTTTTCCAGTTATAGTCCAGGTTGTGCATGTGTTGTAAGTGCATAAAAAAACGTGATGGGATGTGTTTGAAAGAGGCTGCACCCATTGTGACATTTGGAGAGATTGAGGTTAGCAACTGGGCTGAACTGTGTGGGAGGAAGAAAAGAGGGTGATACAACCTTAAAATGATGCCAAGGTTCATAGTCTTACCATTACAACCCCAAACATCTATTAGCTTATGTAAATACACATGGAGAGACCCTCACACTACATTAGGGCTATTCAACTGGGGGCCAAATCAGGCCCATGGGTGAACTCAGTTCGGCCCACCAGTGAGTTCATTTTGAAATAAAACTAAATTTTAAACCATAAAACAAACTTTCTTAATGACAATAACTGCTGGATGTCCGGCCCCTGAGCTCTTGGCTGCAGTAACTGTGGCCCCCTGAGTAATTTAGTTGAATAGCCCTGTGGTTAAATCCTCACCAACACAATCACACATGGCTGTTGGGAACATATCTGAGGTTGACTTGTGATACAAACAAGGACTTAATCAGAAGGTATCAATAAAATCAGCTCGTTTTGATTGCATCAGTTGCATTATGCGGTGATGTCACTGTTCACAAGAGAGCGCAGCGTGACCACGTATAGAGAATGGGACTTAGCTGCTTCAATGTGTTGTGACTTAAGCTGTGATGTAAATGCAACTTAAAATATCTAAACAGTAACAAAGTTGAATGGATTTCATGTGTGTCATGCTACTAAGTGTATTTCTAACAAAGACTCAGCTCATATAGTGTGTGTGACATCATTGAGATAAATTGCATACAAGGTCATAAAACACTGGACACAAACAAAGGCTTGAGTTTCCCTTTCAGGTTTTCTCTAAGGATGCAATCATGTGCATTCATGTTTTGACTAGGGCAAAGAAATTTAATTCTTCTTTTTAAAAAAGGTCATGGGCTAAACTGCTCATACAGTTAAAGAAAAAAAAACATGCCTACTTTGTATTGTTGTCGCATATGTTGTCGAACATACAGTTTTGTGTCTAAGCAGTTCAAAGGCTTAAAGAAGAGCGAGGATTTTAAGCATTATTTATTCAACCCTGTCACACGCTCACAGCAAGAAAAGCACACTGAAAGAACATTTGACTCATAATGTTATGAGTCATGTACAAAGATACATGTCTGCACTGATTACTGGTCAACATAAATACGTGAACCTTCTATAAATAAGTGTGAAAATGCAAATTCTTATTACTGACATTCACAAAATGGCAATACTTCATAAAAAGGTTTTCTGCCCTGTTTTTTTTTTTTAAGCAGCCTGGCATCCATGAGGCCATTTGCATAGGATTAGCATGCAGCGCATACTGATGTGGTTTAAGAAGCTCATGATTGGCTGAGACCCTGTGGCAGAAGTTAAGCACTGAGGTCAAAGCTATTTCATAACTAATCTTATTATCCATTCCTATTACAGCATGAATGTACTGTATGTGCATATAAACACATACAGACACATCCAATCTCACTTTCATTAACAGAGAGACATTTAAGCATAACTTAAACACAACTAGTAAAAGTAAAAAGGAACTGTGATGTTTCCCGTCAAGACTTACCTGACACAAAAGTAAAGGACAATAGGACCAGACTTCTTAGGGAACTCATGCTCCAACACCCTGCGGTCCAGTTGTAGCCAACTAAAGTGGCCCCTGATGAGACAAAGTAACCAGTCACAGCTATAATTAGAGATGCCTGAATGTCTCGCAGCAAAATAAATATAATAATAAAACAATCACATGGTCAAATTGTGTACTGTAGTTCTGTGAATCAGTATTTGTGATCTTTCTGGGAAGAACTTGTTCCTGTGTGTTGCGAACCAAACATTAGAGATGGATCATCTCTAGACTGTTATCAGCAACAAGTCTAAAATTTAGGGTTTTGTGCATCAGAACCCTTGGCAAAGGTAATTTGTCTTTGTAGAAAGGCAGCGTTATTGTAGAAAAGTACAATAAGACTTTAGAGCAACTTATGGTACCTTTAGAACATCTTTTTTTATAACTCTTTTATTTATTAACATAAAATACAAGACATTATAAAGACACGGCTGCTGAAAGAGAGGGAACTGATACCAGACTAGTCTGACTGCCATCTAAAGCTTTACCAAGTATACAATATCTACGGGAAGTTTGAATGAATTTTAAAAAGCCACAGCAATGAGAATGTATCTCCCACACATTATGCTAAGATGTGATTTCAGAAAGAGACTAAATAATCTCAGAACATATTATAATTGTTTTTAAAAGAAATGGCAACATTAGGTTTACCAAGCCATTTTTTCTGTTTTCTAGAAGGTGTTGGAAGACCTAAACATATGTTTGGATGTACAGTATAATAAATAAATAAAAAACACGTGAATAAAGAAAGCTGACAAAAATCACATTATATTGGGTTAATTCTGCCTGTGAAAAAAGGAATAACAAGTATAAGAATTTAAAACAGCTCTAGGTAGTTGGAATAGTAAGAGGTCCCTTCTCTCCTCTTTTTTACTCTTATCTATCTTGTACTGTTTTCCACTGAGGACAAACTGCAGTGACAGCTTGTCACCCTGGTAACCCTACACAGTCTCCTGAGCAGCATTTTTCAAACTGTCCTTCTTCACTCTCTAGTTGCTGAGTCCCCCCACCACAGCCTTTTTGACGTCTGCTCTCCCCAGGCACATGCAACAAATCAACTCATCATGGGATTCTTCCTGAGGGAACTAGACTCTGCTTGGCTGGAATGACATTTGCACCAGTGTGTGTCACAGATGTAGTAATACCAAAAAGCAAAGGCCAGTCCTGCATCATATCAAAGGATGTATTGGATCCAAAAAACACAAAGACACAAAGAATAATGTTTGCATATATGCAAATCACTGGCATGTCTGTATGGCTATTGTGCAATGGTGCCCTTGTCTTTCCAGGTCACAAAGCACAACTCATTTGAATGTCACTTTTGCATTTCAAGCACAGCACACGATATTTGTTATCGCAGAACAAACCAGAGTGCATGACTGGTAAATCATAACAACATAAGTTTTATACCAAAGTATTCTAACAACATTTGTTGAGTTAAGTTTGTATTTCTAAAGACAAATGAAAACAGTAGTTTGGTTTATAGAGAAAGACTAACCCCCCCCCTCTTTTTTACTATTCCTATTTTGTATCAACAGTTTACAAGACAGTGGTGAGACCAGCTATGTTGTATGGTCTGGAGACAAAGACAAAAAGACAGAGAAGGAACTGGAAGTGTCAGAAATGAAGATGTTGAGGTTCTCCTTAGGAGTGAAAATAATGGATAAGATTAGGACTGAGATCATCAGAGGTACAGAACAGGTTGAACAACTGGGAGATAAAGTTGGAGAAGCCAGACTGAGATGGTTTGGACATGTCCAGAGGAGGGACAGTGGGTATATTGGTAGAAGGATATTAGGAATGCAGCTGCCAGGAAAAAGACAAAGATGAATGCCAAAGAAGAGAGATATAGATGAAGTTAGAGAGGACATGGAGGTAGTTGGAGTGAGGACAGAGGATGCAGAGGACAGACTGAGATGGAGGAGGATGACTCGCTGTGGCAACCCCTGAAAAGGGAAAAGCCGAAAGAAGAAGATGATTTTGTATCAAAATGATATCTTACATATACTTACGTTTCATCTGTGTATGCAATTCCAAAGTACTCCTTCTCCTTGAGGTTGAAGTGCGAGGCCACAAGGTCCAGCAGGTCCTTAGCCATCAATTTGGGCTGCAGAGACGAAGATAAAGTATTTTAGGTTAGGTTATGACTGTATTGATCAAATATAAAGCTTGTTTTATGCATATAAATGTCGTGATTTATTACTTAGTAGATTAATTGGAACAAGTACCAGTATAGGTGGTAAAGCTTAATGCAAATGTATTATACATCAGCTATTGATTTACAACAGTGACTAAGCAGTTTTTAAAAACACCAGGGAAAAGAGCAAAAGAGCCAGGGGGAGGAGATAAGTGAGTGAAAGGGAGAGAGAGTAGAAAAAAGATGGATGAGTTTGTGGATGTTGCTGACAGTGCACGTACCCAGCCCTTCCCTTCTCCTCTCCGCACTATCCTTTCTGATCCACACCTCCACTGCAGAGTCATGACTAAGCTGAATCACTGGATTGTAGCTAACTAAGCCAGTGGAATATTGTCTGGGCTATGTGTTGAGACAATTTATTCATCCCAACACCAACAGCAGACAGATCATCTTAAAGCCAAGCAGAGGTCAAGGACTACTCCCTTTTGGTGCTGGTTTGTCACATCCTGACTTACAGTACCCTGAGGTTAACCATGGGTGTGCCTTACTGCGTACTTTTACACACACACACACACACACACACATGCACACATGAACATATACAAACACAAACCCACATACAAGTTGCCTGCATCCACTCCATGCACACATAAGGAACACATGTTGGCCTGTATGGAATAAAAATGGAAGGAGGAATACGTAATGTGTGAAACTAAATAAAAGATGGACACACACACACACACACACCAGAGTACAGAAACAGAACATAACTCTAGTATGCACACTCTTAACAATTTCGTCCTACTATCACTTATCTACTCTCTTTTACAGCTAACTTCAGTGTCAGAAGCTACTGAGAGCTATTTAGAGAGTAGGTGATGTCATACCAACGAAGCACACATACACACACACACACACACTTGCAAAAACACATATATGCACTGACCTAGATCTCATATAAGCACAATGCCTACAGTTATTCTGCTACACATAAAGGCTCCTGAGAGATTAGAAATGAAGGGAGAGCTTGAGGTGAAGTTTAAATAAAGGCTGATTTTGTCATTTAATTGCATTTCAACAAATAAAGCTAAACATAAAATGACTGAGGGACATGGTGGATGACAGCTTTCTCTATATCCCTTTGATGTAAACCTGACACAAATTGCTAGGAAATGCTGGAAAAATCATACCCCATATTGTAACAAAGGGAAGTAATGAAATTACAATCAAAGGTAAAGTTTTAAATACATGTGCATATTCTTGTAATTTATTCAGAGTACATGCTGGGTATAATAATAAGAGCTGACTTTGGTGTTTAGGTCCTGATAGGTGTAACTCATCAGAAATTAGTACTCCTGTTCACAGCTTGACTGACACTACTACTTCTTCAAATGGCAGAGAGAAAACATAAGATCAACATCAGATCCTTTGAAGTGATCAGACCATTTCAAGATGTCTGAAATAAGCTATCTTTATAGTATTAGCAGTAATGTATGTTTTGGTTCAGTATGAAAAACAGACAGTGGTGGTCTCTCATTACCGAACAACAGTCAACTGCCTTGGCAACACTAACAATGAAACATCAATGGCACCACAAGTAGCAAGCAATAAGTGGGGGAAGAGTCACATGCGTAAACACATGAGTAAACAGCTGGAAAGATGATATGGAGATGAAATAAACCTCAACCATACTGTTAAAGTTCAGGAAAAAAATGGCTTGAGAAGAAAAGAAACACAAGGAATTTTGCTGAGTTTCCTCACTTAACACTTGGGGAATCTCAGGCCAAATGTGAAATCACAGTCAATTTTGTTTCTTTTCCAAATGGAGAAACCAACCTTTACACAAGTATGCTCAAAGCCTATTTAGACTGCACACATCTATTGTGTAATAATGCTGTATACACTTCTAACTGCAATAAAATAAGTGATAAGGAACACAATACTAGACATACCAAAAAAAAAAAAGAAAAAGCAGACATACAAACACACACTGAGTAGCTATCAGACAGTGTACAGCTAGCTTAGGCAGCATTACTCCTAACAGACGTTCAGCCCGTGCCTCCTCAGCAGCACAGGTAATTAACAGTGTAAGAATTACAGGGCAGTGTATGTGAGGGAGAGACACACAAAAGCCTATACACAGACAAGTGGCAATCACACAACACAATATCTGCAAACAGCTAGACAGACCCTTGATGCATTCAGTGTTCAATTTATGATACACTAACATGTTTATCAGTGGCAGTCCATACAGTCCAAGGCAGAGGAAGGGTGGTGTTTTCACCCATAAGTTTGTCATTAATTTGATTTAAAAGGTTTATTATTAAATGCACAATCTGGTCAATGTGTAATCTGTGCTTAAAGTGCAGATTCCTCTGCCAATGGTGCGTTACTTCCTAAACAAACCACAGAAGACGGCCCATCAAAGGTAGGAGGAAGGATATACTGTAGGTACAGCAGTGAGGTGAATGGCACTTCTGGGACTCAGCAATCAGTCATAAATGTATGATGCAGTCTCCCTAAGAGTAGCTGGCTGTTGTCCTTGGCATGGTTACAGCAAGCCAGATTTAACCATGAAGCTCCAAGGTGGTCAGTGAGAACTTATATTTGAAATACATACCAGTACATACTTTCTTTGGGTTCAAGTTTAAAGATTTTTTCAATAAATCTGTTTTTTTTTTGTTACTGACTGGCAGACTTCTCTGCTTCTTAGTTCAGTGAAAAACAAAACAACAATGTTATTCTCTAAGGCTCTACTAACATCACACTGACCTACAAAACATCTTCCCAACAGAGAGATTCAAGCAGAAAGGAACAGTGGAAGAAAAAAAAAAACACAATACCTTGATTTATGGGACAATTGCTCAGTAATAATATACAATTTTTTGATATTTTCCTAAGTTTTTTTCTTCTTGCTAATGCTACTGTCAAACAAGATAAAACAAATGTTTTAATCATGCACAGTTCTGTACAGCACTTGCAACATGTTCTATAAAACATGTTAGTAAGAAATGTATTACTATGTTTTTGTTTATTTTGTAAATTATGTCCATCCATCCATCCATTATCTTTTACCCGCTTGTTCCTTTTCGGGTTGCGGGGGGTCACTGGTACCCATATCCAGCTATCACTGTGCGAGAGGCGGGGTACACCCTGGACAGGTCTCCAGTCCATCACAGGGACACATAGAGATAAACAAGACAAACAAACATTCACTCTCTCACTCACACCTAGGGACAATTTAGAGTTACCAATCAGCCTAGCATGCATGTTTTTGGTCTTTGGGAGGAAACTGGAGTACACAGCGAAAACCCATGAATGCACGGAGAGAACATACAAACTCTACCCAGAAAGGTCCCCAGCCAGGATTTGAACCGGTGACCTCGCTGAGCATCAACAACTCTACCAAGTGAGCCACCGTGCCGCCTCGGGTGAAAACGGATGATAAATGATTTAAAGAAAGGACATAGAATGAACTGAAAGATAAACTGAAAACAAATTAAAAAGTAGCAGAAAAGCAGGTAAAATCAAGCGGGTGGACGAGAAAAGATGATATGGAAAGTGATGAGTTGTACGTTAACAGAGAAAGAAAATATAAGAGGTAGAAGAGCAGAACAAGCTACCAATTTTGAAAAAGACCATCGGTTCTGGCAGAGTAATCAAATCAGAAAGTCAGCAGACCTTTTCCTGCCACTCCCTTTTCATTTTCTCTTCTCTGTTCCAGTTCCTTGTCATCTCCTGTCTCTCCATTCTTGAGAAATCATGTCCCTCTCTTTCTCTTCCCCCCAACTCCTTACATTTTCTGCTTCGTTTTTTTTTTTTATTCTCCACTTACTCCTAGTTTCTTGTTTCAAGGCAATTCTTTCATTTTGTCTTTCTCTCTTTCCACAGGAATAAGGTAATGGCCAAGCCAAATTGAGCAAGAGGTCAGGAAGAGTGAAGGTACCATGTAATGGGTATGTTTCAGTCTTTCTAGCCAAAATGTGAGCGAGTAAAAGGATGTGATTACCACTCAGTTAAAAACTAATATAACCAGGTCTAGGATGAAGAACAGAGAGCAGACCAGAGGGGAGTTACAAGAAGAACATGAAAGCTTATAAGCTTTGAATAGCAAAAATAAGTTATGTAGTTCACTTCCGTTGTTTATCACTGACAAAATATTTGAGCCGAAGATTAAATTGACAGTTAAGGTATACTATCAGAGAGCCAATATCAGGAAACATAGCTTTGATAAGTACGTCAAATCTGCTGCAAAGCTGCAGTGTAGCTCGTGTGTTTTGTCAGTGAGAGATCAGGTGAGCATCAGGAAAGTGCAGTGTCACCTACACTGCTGGCCAGATTTCTCTTTGTCAGCAATAATCAAGTCCCTTAAGGCAGCAAATGTTGCTTCTCTCTAGCATTAGGAAAGCTAGCATCCGTACAATTCTAGAGACTAGAAAGGGGAGAACAAGCTAATGGACAAGAGGAAGAGACACTCACCTGTACAAGGAGCTCCAGCTTCCTGTCGTCCAATAGGTGGACCTGACATCGCCTCCCCTCTGTCATCTGAGAAACAAAAGAGAAAAAAAGGATGTCAATTGTAGTGTTCTTGTTCAAAAAGGTATTCGAGGTTTTGCCAACTACATTAAAAATGTCCACTATTTTCAAAATCTAAAAGAATTGTTTACAACTATGTTAACTCATATATATTTTGATCAGATTCCAAAGCATTTATATTCAAAACCTTTCGAGACTTGAAGGCTGAGATAGATTTAGTGATTTCTTAGGCCATTTTTGACATTTAAGTACAAACATCTACTGCAAACATAAAGCTTGTACAGTGGACAGGCTTAATAATTTTTAGAGATAATCTTTAGGCACTTTACAACAAGATTAAATGAGTCCAGCTCAAACTTAACGTCATACAGTTCAGTTAAGCGCAATTGCTTTGAATATAGACCAATTTAGTCAGATTCAGATTTAAATACAGCTAAATATACATTCCAATCAAGCCAATTTATCAGATTCTAAATATAAGAAAACTTGAATACAAACTCAGTGACATAGTAATTAAAAATCAACAATAAAAGATGATACGTAAAGGAGGGTATAGTGGTGACTTTGTCCAATTCACAGTTTTCAAGATAACATTTAGGACGGTCTCTGTAAAAAGTTTTTCCAAACTCATTTTCATATTTATACAGACCTGTAAAATACTAAACACAAACTCTACACTTGTCTATAGTTATCAGAACTGCATTGAAAACCCTTTCTAAAGCATCTTACAAAATGAACTGCCCCAGCATAAAAATACACCATGCTGTGCAATGAGATTGGACTTTGCCTGTCTGTGTGGTTTTTTACTGAAATCTTAACAAGGTTATCTGAAGTACAGACAATGGGCCAACAGAGACAGTGCCCTGGTCACTGTTCCTCTTGGACATTTCTGGCATTCCTCCTTGAGCCAGAAATCTATTACCCATCAGTTCACAGGCGACCATGGTCCAAACCAATGACAGAAAGTGTCCACTAACAATGCTCACTAGAGTGCTTTTTAAGCTGCTGAAATTAGGTTTGCCAAAGTGAGTTGCAGAAAAAAAGCATATGTGCCAAGTTCAGGTGTAAACATGACACAGTAGCAGTGATGATAGTCAACTGTGGGAAACAGCAAGCTCGAGTAAATGTTTTACATGAGGCAAACCAACTCTAAAAACCTGCTAGAAAACTTCCTGTCGTACCATAAAATTAAAAATAAAACTCAGAACAAAGACACAAAGTTGTTTTGGCATCAGAATACAAATGAGCAAACTCGGCAAGACAGCTGAACATCCTAAAGTATGTTTGAGTCTGTATCCTGCTGTTTTCAGCACATGTGGCGTTGCTTCACAATTTAACAGGAAGCGGGGACCCTGAGGACCACAAACACCCCCTTGCTCCACCCACACTTCCCTCACATCTGGGAGATGAGAAGTTCAAGAATGGAGGATAGTGTATGATGAAGAAGAAGAAAGAATGGGAGAGATCATCGTTGTAATATCAGTGGTAATAATGCCTTACAGAACAAAAGAATTCCTCAACATAAACACAAGAGCAACCGGTTTGTAACGCTTCACCGTGAGGCCACCTGAGGCTATTATAATAAGGTAAGGGTGTGTCACGGTTACTGTAAGAAAACCACCTTCCCATTTTCCCACCATTCACATCAGCTTGTGTAATGGTGGCAGGCTGAAAGTGACAGTTCACAGATAGATGAAGATATCAGAAACAGAAGAGGGGGAGACAATGACATAGGTATGCTTCAACACTCATCCCAGTGTGAACTCCCTAAATGACTAAGGGTGGCATGTGCATGTGTGCGTGGCTTCTACTTACTTTGCAGAACCTGGTTTACTCTTTTCACTGATCCCTTGTAGTTTAATGGTTTAGCTTGGGTGCACCTGTGCACACAGTCAGTGAAACTTTTCACTTTGCTTTTGTTTGTTTGTTTGTTTGAATGAGCCCTTCTGACTTACCCTTCCAAACTTAACATACTGCTCAATGGAGCAATAGTGCACCAATGATTTGCACACATTACTTTGAAATGACTGAGATGCCAACTATATCTTAAGATATTGAAAGTAAATGCTTACATTATGAAAATATGGCAACACTCAGTGCAACAAAGGGCTAAACATCATCTGCATAGCAGACACAAACATACACAAACATACACAAGTATATACGCATTCACTGGCAAACAGCTTCAAGCACCTGGGAATATTGCAAACCTTAATATCTAGGTAACAAATCACTGCCTTGAAGCTTAAATTAGAGACTCCAATCTGCCAGAAACAGATGTCCATTGGTTTTAGAAATGAAATTCAATTTATGGTACTGGGCAGATGATTCTGAGTTTATTCTCAAAGTCAAACATACGGGTACGTGGTCACGTGAACATACTGTATAAGGAGGCTGACATACTGGTCTGGGGGAAAGACAACAAAATAGCGAGACATTGTTGTGTGAGTGATTGCATATCTAACAAGAAGAAACATCTAAACAGAAAATTTTAAATTTTTCCATCTGCAAGACCAAGAAGGGAAAAATGGAAACCTGCTGTGCAGGCACACTTTGGACACCACGTAGGATGCACACATTTTAATCATGGTAGTTTTTGTTACTTTAAGTATACATATGTATATATATATATATATACATATACACTTGTAAATGAGTCTTCGAGGCTCAATGTGAATTATCTGTTTAAATAAAGGTTGAATGAATATGTAATGATTAATGTAAAGATCTGTACTTCATCATTGCCTCGAGTGAATACTAACTTGAAATATACAAAACCAACTGTTAGTAATAAATCATGCTGAAAACAGAGATAGGACAAGTGGACAAAGCATTTTATATAATTGTACTAGTTATTTCTCTGCTGTTCCTTGATTCTTGAAAGCCATTTATATATTTAGTACCAAAAAAGTACATGTTATTTTATGTGACTCTTTGGTTATAGGAATACGCATCTTTGTAGTTCAACTTGGGTGATACCGTCAGATCATTTAGTCACGTATCCACTGGGAGTTTATCCTTACAACGTTCTTGCATATAATTGAAGGAATATGCGAGATAAAAACAAAATAATCTATTTAACTTGTCTATCAGTTTTGAATGGTAAATGGACTGTACTTATATATTGCTTTTCTATCTAGTCAAGATGCTCAAAGCGTTTTACACTACAAACTGTGCCCCCATACAGCACTCTACATCTCTGCAAAGCTAATCTGAATCTGTAGAGACTAATCAGTGCTTTAGTTTAGATCACATTCATACACCGATGGGACACACATAGGAGGCAATGAAGGGTTCAGTGTCTTGCCCAGGGACACTTCAACATGTGACTGTTGGTGGAATCAAATCCCATTGGAGGACGACTGCCCTATAACCACTCAGCCACAGCTGCCCAGTTTTCCACAACAGTATTTTCCCCCAACCAAAAATGGCGGTTTGACATCACCTGACGGATGACCTCACGCCGACTTCAAGAAAGTCCATCACTGAGTCAACCTTTATTTAAACAGGTTGGTCCCACTGAGCCACCTCTCGATCAATCCAAATATAATAAAGTCTCTATGAATAGTCTGATGTCACTAAACTAGAATGTTAGGAACAGTTCATCCTTATTTAATGTGAGACAGATAGTTCACATTATCATGGTCAACACAAATACTGATCACAGCATCTCGACATGAATAAAATCACTCCGACGTGCTGTAAATGTTAGCTGTAACAATGTAGTTCCTGTGTGATCATTTTTAGCTTAAAAGCAGCATGTGGTAGAAGTTACATCACGCTGCCCTGGTTTGTGAATCATCCACCACATCTATCATTACTTGTCACGTTTGAACTTGCTAATATAACAAGCATCCTCTGGACCTGACTCAATGGGAAGAAACGCCATAATGCACCTATTCCAAGGGGTTTTGTAGTTCACTGGAGCTGACGTTCAAATAAAAGCAACACGAGCACACAGTTGTCAGCGAGGTGAGACGGCAGGACATTACCTTGCAAACAAACGCTCCCCGTGAGACTCCCACTGGAAAACTGAAGAAGAAAAAAAAACCTGGAATATTAATCCCAGAAAGACACAAGTCGTGTTCCTGCCACAAAATCATCAAAGAACACTCGCTTTCCTGGCCGGCCTGAACGAGGAGGCACGTCAGCATCCATGTTTGTGACCGTTAGTTAACGTTAGCCGTGGCTGCCGCTCCTGTCAACACCGCAGGGCAGCCGTCTCATACCTTCGCCATTCCAAACCGAGAAAATATGAATTACTGCGACTGTGGAGGGTCTCCCAACACCGCCTCCCCTCTCTCCCTCTGTCACATCCCTCCTTCGGAAAGCAGAGAGCCCCACGCTGCCCGCTGGTCCCCGCTCCACCAGCTCTCCTCCCCACAGCCGCCCCCCTTCTCTCCTATTCGCCACCGGCGCCGCGTGCGCGCGGGCGGAGATTGTACCAACAGTCTGCTAGCTAAAGGGGGGAGACCGGAAGAAGCGGGGCTAAAAAAGAAGCTAGGTACTTTGGCTGTCACCGGAGCTGCATCAAACGATCGGGAATAATGGAGGAAGATGTGGGGGCGGGGAGAGGAGGTAATGAGGGGGGGTTGCAGGCAGCAGCTCTCAGCCATGAGAAACTGCAGACTTCTCTGTCTGTGTAATGTGTGTGTGTGTGTGTGTGTGTGTGTGTGTGTGTGTGTGTGTGTGTGTGTGTGTGTGTGTGTGTGCGCGGGTGTGTTTACACCCACAGACATGCGTGTCTGCAGGGCAGTCTACCGTTAAAACCAGTGATAAATAACAATGAGCTGAGTTTATAAAATGCACTGCTTTAGGGTAAGTACAGGTCTGTCACCTGCTCTCAGGTGACAGATCCACCTTCACCGTGTGTGTATGTATTTAGACAAAAACTCAGGCTGCCGAAAGGTGCACATACTTGAATGGTTCAGTCCTTGCACTGTGGTGCATCCTGTCTACACCTAAAACACAAATCTTGCTTTGAGTTCTGGCCTTCAGCCCACTGCAGC